CTTATTGTACCTGTCGTTCTCTCCTGTACAGGTGTGATACCACACACGCTACACAAAAGCCTGGGAACATTACAATTGAGTAGAAATACATACATCACACTACAGAAGGCCACTATATTGAATACATGCCATATTGTTAGGAAATTCCTTAATACAGACACTGACACACACATTTAATTTTAGTTTTGTGTTGGTTGCTATGCCTTGACTCTGGTCCGGCATAGTACACAGCCACCGGTGTGTACTGAGTATAACCCACTAAACCCAACACATAATAATAATAATAGAAATATGTCCTGTTTATATTTTTAGGCTATAGTAAAATTGGATTCATTATACAATGTTTTCACTTAGTAATGCAGTTTCCAAAAACCTATTGATGATGATAAATGAATACTTGCTATAATAATTTAAGGTTTAGTAGTAATTTTTTTAACTAAACTAAGTTTTATATTCATATATATTTAAACAATCCTTACATTGTTTTTTTTTTTAAATAAATAAGCTAGCAGATAAGCCCAGCATTGCCTGGGAAAAAATAATAACAAACATTAAGATAAGGCTATTAGATTATTTTGTACTTCTAATCCTTCCTTCTGCTATATTTCATTATGGTATTTGGTTTATATAACTACAAAGGTTATCTTATGTAACAGTTTATCACACCAAGTGACCAATCTAACACATTTAAAAAATTTTTTAAATTGTGTACTATAGAGAAATAAAAAAATTTTAATAATCTTTATAGTTACATAAGTCAAATACTATAATATAAGAAACATAAAAAGAAAATCATATAAAGAGTTTGGTTATTTTAGTCTAACATTGTCATGTTTATTGTGATACTCTGATGGCACAATTTCAATGGTTAAGTTGACAGGAATTGAAAATATGATGATACCTTAAATTTTTTAACATTTTTTTTTTCTAATGTTAGCTCTAACAAACAGTTCCATTTACACCTCCTAGAAGAGAGGATGGTCAATGATTACTAATTAATACTGGTCTACTATTAATATTTGAAAAGTGATTCAAGTTGGATAGGTTGTAATGGAGTTGCTAACCTTAACGTCTGAAAGACTTCATATAAAACTTGTTTAAATAAAATAAATCCTGTAAAAATGTGAGAAAAGTAAAGCTCAGCAAAAATATCTAAGTAAAGGAAACTTTTGAAACTTGTGGCATGAGAATAGTTGATGCAGATTTGACGGTAAGACTCAACTTGTCAATAAAGTGCACATTACACAGACTACAACTACAGGAAATTTTGAATGAAGCAATGTTACCATGATATAATAAATAGGAAAAAGGAAATATAACTATCGGCACAGAAAAAGACTTCAAGCTTTACTTTGTGCCTTAAAAATTGTTAAAATTGTTGCACATACAATAATTTGGCTGAACTTTAGAACATCTTTCAACAGTATCAGTGAAGGAAATTTGGGGTAATTGGTTTGAGTTCATAAGGAGAGATGAAATCAGGGGGGCAGGGTGTAGTAGTTAAGTATGTCTTCATAAATATCATATTTATAGAAAAATTATTAGAATTGGTTTGGTTTATTTGGCTACAGAATGCAACAAGTGAGTGATCTGCCAAGGAGGATGCATCCTGGGAAGACTTTTATGTAAAGATGGCCCCTATTTAGGTTTTACTAATGTGAAGAAAACCCAGAAAACTTCACATGGCCAGTCAGTTGGCCATGAGTGAACCCACAACTGACTATAGATGTACAGTAGTTTTATAGACTTTGTTATTGGACAGTACTTATTGTGCTGCAATTTGAAAAAATTGTAGACCTATAAATAATCTATTGCCATCCATCTAACTGTTCTTCCTTAATATCGAGAATGGAGTTAGATAGATGAAACATCGAGATGAGACATGGAAAACCTAAGAGCAGGAGGCCCAGATTAACTACAGACAAACTTCTAGTTTGCATTGGAAATCACATAATTTCAATTCAAAATTTTCCCCTGAATGGAGTTAGATACATAACTGACATGACTACTGCTAACAGGAAAAGTGTAATGTACAGGGAAAAACACCACTCCATGCAGGCAAGTGCTATGTGCTACTTGTAGACAAATTAATTGATATATAAAAATCTAATCTGTATTTTGGGTTAGGATGTATGACATTATGTAAAGTTAGAAGTATGTAAATGTAGCTGCTGAGTTTCTTAGCAATTGGTTGAATGGCCTAGGTGTGCATAACATAACAAACATCCTCATTTTATATATATAGATATTTTAATATTGGTTTTACTCATTTTTGTATGCATATCTACAGGCATTTAAAAATGAGTAAAATGAATAAATATAATTGCAATGTTTTATTAGACAAATTAAAAATAAAACTTTCAATTCACTTTTATGTGAAATTGGTATCATTATGTAAATGTTTAGCAATATTATTGTATTAACTGATATTATAGCAGATGAAGTTTAATGATTCAATGAAAGTATAATATGCTATATATTTGAATGGATAGAATATTATTGTGATCCATATATGCATTGAATTTGAAATTTATTTTAATATTCCAAATATTAATGATTAATGACTTTTACATTATTAATTACAAATAACTGATCAATTGATGATATACATTAACAGTCAACTTTAAGCACATATTATGTCATTTATAATATAAGTTACTGGTAAAACTAAATTGCAGTAATTGTATATGTATTTTTCTAAATAAATTATGATTTAATTAAAGTACATAAATTACAGTACGGTCTTGTTTTATGCAGGGGGAGTTGTGTATTTGTAGTACCACATAAAACAAAATTTTGCATAAATTTGTACTCCACATTTTAAGTAGTGCCAGATGATAGTCTAGATCACAGGTTCTTAAACTTATTTCGACCACCGCCCACTTTGAGATTTAAAAAAATCTAGTGCCCCCATATTTTTTAACTTACCTTTTTACATTACCATCTGTTGCATATCTTAAAAACAGTTATTGCAAATATAATGTTTAAACATGCATTATTATATGGATAGGATAGATAGGGTGTGATCCATATCCTATTTCTGAGCTCAAAGAATGTTTCAGTGAGAAGAAATAAAACTCATATTTAATCACTGAGCCTTCTACTGCCCTCTGAAAGCCTCCAGCACCCACAAGGGGCGTTATCGCCCACTTTGAGAACGCTGCGTCTAGATATCCTAACAGTTTTTTTTTTTTCAATATTCCATATTATTCATTTTTACAGAACTGGGAAGTAATTACTTAATGATTACCTGCTCCCAGCATAGTGTCACCCTGGCATCAGCATGTCATAGGAAAATAAATTTGAAAAGTTTCTCACTTGTGAACTAGACAATAAACAGAAAAGGAAAAAAGTGATCTCAATTTTTAAAGTCAAAATATTCATGATCAGAAAAACAATGTTTACATTTTTAAATTTTAAATTCAGGTGAGAAGTTGCAAACATTTCTTATGATTTTCATTCTAAATCCAAAACATGAACAGTCAAAAACAAAACCCTATTAGAAAACGTTATTTTACAACATACAAAGTTTTCATTTTTTTCAGGTGTATGTTAGTTGCTGATATCCAAAGCAGAATTAGCTTATTTGGTTCAGCAGATGAAAAAGTACATGCAGAAATTTTCTCAGAAAATTATCTGAGCTTGACTCAAGATTCACTGGCAAAAAACTATCTAGCAAATAGATTGATGAGGCCTTGGAATATGCCAGTAGTTTTCATCCCCAGTCAATGGCCAATATTAACTATAAAGCAAGAGCAGATCTTTTCAAAATTGCGGCTTTGTAGAGTACTTACTTTATTCATCAAGCCTCAGAACTGGTGGCTTTCTTTGTAGGGTTTGAATTCAGAAATTGTATCCTTTATTACCAGTAGCAGCTTTATTCCTTAGCCATAATTGAATTTTTTTTATGTCTTAAGTTTGTTCAATCCAAACTAAGAAACAGCCTTGGAACCCAAAAGCCATCAAGCTGGTGGTAGTGTTTAACTTACATCCAATAGCAACAATTTTCCATGCCTACTAGTTTTTTCATGGATATTTTTCACTAAATTGACTTATTTAGCTGTGATATCCTCATGCTACATGCTATCCTTGTGTGTAAAAATTTTGGTCAAAAATTTGTTTTCTTTTTATCATAGGCTCAAGAAAACTGAAAAATTTTCTGCCTTGTGCATGTTTTTTTTTAACACAATTACATGTGTACACAACAATTTTCCACTCATCATTTTTGGTGATCTGATGTCATCAAAAGTGATGTGGAGGATTTTTTGTCAGCTATGCATGACAATGACATGGCAGTCTGCAAGTTGCTTCAACCTTAAACACTTATCCCCATAAAATAATCTGACCTTCAACAGTTTTAAATGTTTTTGCAACTTTATTTCATGCTTGAAAAATACAGAGAAATTATTTTCTGGTCTTTCTGAGCCTTTCACATTATCCCATGGTATTGTAGTTTAGGGAATCCTTATGGGAGCCCTTGAAAGGACATGGTTCTGTAAACAAAACAATATCTCATAAATTAAACAATGTATGACATTAAATTTTGTAGAGAAGACACATTAGGGAATTTTTTCAGAATTGTCAAATTCAAGGAATGGTGATTACATCAATATAATTACTTGTGAAAAATCAGTGGAAAATTACCACCTTAAGCATGTCTTCGTGTTAAAAAAGTGCATGTGATCTCAGGTTACGCAAGTATGCAGCTGAGGCACTGAAGTGGGCATTTAAAGTCAGTTAAAACTGTTTTTATTTAGAAACTTAAAATTTATTATTATTTTTTGTTAATATCTTGTTTTGAATTTTGATTTTAAAAATTATACTTAAATTTTAAAATAAATACTGTAATTAAAACATTTCAAATAATTTTTTTTTTTTGTGTATTTTATTTTCATTATTCTTATTTTTCTCTCTAATGTTTTATTATTTGCTCAATGTTCAGAAAACTTTAGTTCACAGGAAATACTAATATAATAATGTTAAAAATATATATACTGTACATCCTGTACATGAACAACTTTTTTGAACTTTCTGTGTGTCAACAATAGAACCTTCTACTTTTGTTTCATATTGACAAATTTTCTTCTCAATGAAAGGCTATAGAAAATTACTTTTAATTTTTATACCATTACTTTCCTCTACAATAAATTTCAGAATAAAAATAATCAACATATGCAATAATAATTATGTACTCTGGTGCATCCAGAGTTAATCTAACTATTAAGCTTGCAAGTGAAAAAACAAATCTGCATATATCAATTTTGTGTAAAGCAAGACCCTGTTGTAAAAATTTAACAACTGAGAGATTCTGATTTTTTAAATAATAAATTTTATTTTATTAATAGACAATTTTGTCAACATTAAGATTGCCTTCCCAAACAACTCTAATTCTTTCAACTGCAGAAACACCAAGTGTGTCAAATACACAGTAAGTATTATCATTTTTTATACATGGAGTATAAATATTACTAATTTAATTATCCTTATATCTACCTCTTCAGTAAATTAAAACTTTGAGGTTACTTGTTAGACAGATGTTAAAGAAATGCTATTTTTAACTGTAGATAGTAAGTTTTGAGTTTTCTCTCAACTTTAGACACTTTTATTTAAAATAAAATGGATTTAAAAAGTTGGGATAACAAAATCTTCAATATAGTGGAAATTTGCTAAACATTTAGCTTGTTACATAGTCATAATACCTTTTTAACATAATAAGTAAAAAAAATTGTTTCTGGAGCCTGTTTGCAACAATGCTGTGAACATACTTTTCTTTTATCTTAAAGATTTGGTAGTAATGACTTTTTAAATCTGTTTAATTTTATAAAAATATCTGAAGGTGAGAAAAAATATACTCTTAAAAATGTTGAGCTTACTTTTGTAATCTTGCCAAATTTATTAATTGAAATATTAATGTGAGATTGAGCAATGTGGTTAAAGAAAATTATAAATGCTTGGTAGGATCATGCAGTGCAATGTGAGTTCCAAAGTTGTGCATCACTATTTCAATGAAACAGCAAACTCTTTTCTTTAATATTTAGTTTTACAAAGGTAAAACAGTCAGAATTATTGTCATAAAAATTAGAAAAAAAATTGATCAGAATGATTTATTTTGCATCTTAAGTTTTGGATTGGTTTATTATTCACAAAGGGTGGAAATAATCAAGGGAGTTATTTATTATGCATACTGGATACAATCCTAGATGCGGGGAACAATACCTTCTCCTGAAAACAAAACATTTAAATACAAAGATTATAAAAACAGACAAAAATATACAATAATAAATTATATAAGTAATAATTGAAATTATAAGTTAATGTGTTGAGGGAAAATTACATCATTCATACTCATTCTCAATACATCACAGTTTTAAGAACAGAAGCTACTAAATATACATGAAATCCTTGTTAATTTGAAATTCAGGAGAGAAAATAATCACAATTACAAATTATTCGAATTATACATATTTCTGTACAATATGCCAAATGTCATGTAACTGATGTAATTTATTAAGCAAACAGAATATGGCTACATGTATAGAATGATATTTTTGTTAATTAATAATTATATAAATAAACTGCAGGTAAATGGCATGTATCTGATGAGAACATGAAAGATTGCCAGATAGGTTTTATAAAACATTAAGCAAAATTCCTAAAAATATAGCCCAAATTATTTTTAAAGTGGTCTAAAAAGTAGTAAATTTTCCAAATCTAGTAGTTTAGGACCTTACAACTATTTCAGTCTGCTACTTTTAGCCCAATCTTTCAATCCTGAAACCCAGTCATATTTTATGAGATAAGAGAAAAAGGTAGAGATCATGGGTAAAGTGACACCCAAAAATGTATTACTGTAAAAGCAACGCATTTTCAGGTCATATATACTTATTAATTAGCAGTCACTGTTGCCCAGATTATAGATGTTCTTGGTCTATTGTTTTCTTATAGTATGAAGGTTCATTGATCTAAAGTTAGATCAATGAACCTTCATACTATAAGAAATACTCTCTATACTAGACTACATGAACATTAAATTATTCGTTTAGATCTAAACGAATAATTTAATGTTCATGTATCACAGTTTGGACAGAATTTTCACTTTGAATTTCGAAGTAGCCATATTTCGAACTAACTGAATTCCTTAACATGTAAATATCTCCTGTATCCCTAGGACAAAATAGTACAGTTACAAAGTAACAAAATTTTGAAATCTTCAAGTTCGAGTTAACAATGATTTTCTGTATTAGCATTACAATATAATATTAAGTTTGTCATATTTTTTTGCATTATATTGGTAGATACAACAGGCATTAAACTTTACTTTTTGTTCAACAATTATCAATTTGAATTGCCTCAATGTTTGCAGGTCTGCAACTTAACAACAAATACAGAAATAGGTGAATTGTTCTTAGCTATAGTATATACTAACAAAGCACTGATCATATGAAATGACATAATTTGCATCTTACTGATGAAAGGCCAATGCCTTTATACAAAATGAGAGAGGGTGGTGGTCATTAACATACTGTCTACTGGTAGATAGGCACTTGAATTCCCACCAGAAAACATTGCTATGATGTTGATGAAAAACCATGAGAGGTGTTTCTGTAATTTGATGAATGCTATTATGATTTTATTTGTCAAATGAATAGTTTTATTTGTAAAAATGATTTGACTAGTGGGAGTCCTGGTTGTGTGTTAAATACCTTTAGCTGAATAAAATAATAAATTGACAAAAATTAAAAAAAGTAATGAGTATTAGTATATGCATTTATTGTTAATAAGCTTTTACCTATCAGTAATTTTATTAAATTCAGATAATTAAACCATTTGTCAGAAAAAACTAAGTAGCCCAAAAAGTTATCCAAAACAGTCTCTCAACTATGGTACAGTCTTTCAACTTTTATTTTTATCATTTAAACCACTCAAGTAGTTCAGTTCTCAATTTTTTTGTGTAATCCATGTGTGTTCAACCATTGGCCATGTTAGTGACAGTAGTGAAAGGTATAACATGCACATTTGTTATAATGATTATTTGCAAATTTGGAAGTGTCTGTACTTATGGTATTAGGAAATAATGTGAGTCAAACTTAACTTGCAAGTGAAATTTTTGAAAGTCAGAATTTTCCAAAATTCAGAATTTCTAGGAAATTTGCAAATATACATAATTCTGGAGTAAAAATTCAGATTATTGTGAAATTACTTAAATTAATGTAAAAATTAAATTTCTAAAATAAATGATGTAAAAAAACAGGTATCATACTTGTTACGGGGAGATAAAGCTCCTGAAACATGCACAGTATATGGAAATACAGATGGGAAATAAAACACATACATTAATATGGAGCAATATTCCACATAATGCAATGCATTTTTAAAAAACAAAATTATTCTTTGTATTAACTCATTAAGCATTCAGAGGTAAGAAGATTGGACTAATTTGCCTAAACTTTTTTCTCGTTTTTGCTTTTATATGGTACACTAGAACTCTGTTAAGAGGTTCATATTAGGTTTCCCAGAAAATTTCCCACCTAAGTACAGTAGAGCATTGTTTATCAGAATCAATTGGGGACTGGGGTTGTTCAGATAATTTATTTCTCGGATAACCAATTATATACAAAAAAAATATATTAACCTATCCCACGTTGGAATTTTTCTCCGTTGTGTGTTGCTTCACGTTGAATTTTTGTCGATGTTAGCCGAATGTAATTTTTAAAAATAATAATCATGGCTATTGTATTGTTAAAAATTATTTTTTTATTTTGTACAAACAAAATAAATATATTGAAAAATATAAAAACAAAAAAAATATATTTTGGAAGTTAATCTAGTATCAAAAATGTTTGATTCAGCATGACACAGTCCGACTGGAACGCTTTCGGTTAACCAACATTTTGGTTGATCAGCTTTCAGATAAACGACTCTCTATTGTAGTTGAAAATTCTTATCCATGACCAGAAAATAGATTTAAGTTTTACAGTTGCCTCCTACTGCATGTTATGTACCATATGTTTAATTGCTATGGAAAAAGGGAAAAAAATCCATTAGTGAATGCACAAATTTTTGTCATTGCACATGTAACTTTGGGCTACTTTCAACACCTGATTTTTACAATTTTCTTACACTGCTATCTGACAACAATGTTTGTAACAAATAGCAAATTCTGACAAGCACTATCAATATGTGGGTGATGCTGTAAGTTTTCAATGAACTTTAGTAGAGTATTTGTATTAGAAAGTGTTAACCTAACTATTCACCATCTGTCAAAGCAAAAATCTTCATATTTCAATCCCATGCAAAAATAAACCCTACTATTATTCATTATATAATAATTTTCTTGTCTTCATTTATATATTTATATATATGTATGTATATATATATATATATGTATTTAACATTTTGTTAATTGATTTTTTTCATATTTTTAAAATGAATTAAAACATTATCTATATTATTTTTTTAAATATTGCTGCAAATTAATAATAAGTAGTTGTTTTTAAGTTATGATTTGAGTTTTAAGTTAATATTTTAAAATATTAGATTTAAAATTAATTGGAATTTAACAATTTTAAGTGAACTTAAATTTTTTGAAACATACATTTCTATGTAACTTATTTCAGACTTTCCTTTTCTGACAAGTTAAATATGATGTTTAAGTTGCACATAACAGATGAAAGTAATAACAAAGATTACACACTGAGTTTTCCAGGATCCAAGACAATTCAAGAGGTTAGCTTTTATCAAAAGTATGAAAATTGAGATCATAACAAAATGAAATATATTTTATACAATTACTTTTTCCTAATTTATTATTAATAATTTAACAGATTAAGCAAGACATCTATGCCGTTACAAACATTCCGGTAAGATTTCAGCAATGGATAGGTTGGCCTGAATCTGCTGCAGATGAAAGTGTTAGTATACATTCAAAATATGTTTTAAATGATATATTCCATTTTCATTTTTAAGCAATATCATCTTATACTCTCTATAGATGACACTGGCTGCAATAGATATTAATTTTCCAGTCCATAATCTACTGTTGAAAAGAAAAGAAAGCTTAGCTTCTAAAAAGGTATTATATTTTTAAACATACTATTAATAGATTAATTTAATTAAATTAATAAATCAAATATTCTTAAATTGATTGATTTCAAAAGTTTTAATGTAATATTAAACAAATTTATCAATGCTCATAAATATATATATACAGTGGTGTCTCGTACAACGTACTTAATCCGTTGGTGCACGTCCGTTAAGTGAAACGTCCGTTATACGAAACGCATTTTCCCATAGAAATACATGTTAAAACATATAATTTGTTCCGCAGCATAAAATAACCGTACTGTACCGTAAAAAATGAAAATGGAGCAGACACCAATTATGCCGGGTAGTCAGATGTTGTGAGGATGAGGTGGAAGAACACTTTCTTTACACATTCATACAGATACAGACTTTTTACACATTGCAGCGGGTCTTTTTTTATTGTTTTTTAATTGGAGTCAGATTCAGGAGAGGCTACCGGAACTTGCAGGGTCAACTTCTCTTGTTCCATCCTTTGTTTTTTGCCCGCTGGCTTCTTGAAAAACATGACCAAGGTGGTCTGTTTCTCTTTCTTCTTTAACACCTGTCGGAAATGACGGACAAAGGTGTCATCGTAGAGATCATTGATCCTGTTGGCCTCAGCTCTGTTTGGATAATGAGTGTTGGTAAACTCCTGAACCTCTCCCCATTCGACAAGAAAGTTTTTGTCAACTTTCACTCCTGATGATTTCTTGCTTTGTTTCAATTGAAATCACCTTTCTGTTTTTTTAGAAGCCATTATGCATTATAAATGACTTAACTTGCCAGATTATATGATACGAATAATTCTTTATTAATTAAAATCACTAAACACTTCTACGAGCTACTCTCGCTCCGTTTGTTTTTTACAACCTCTTTTCGTCCCACCACCTCGGCATTTACACACAATTACATTTCATTTATTTGAATCGTCAACATATACTGTATTACATTACATTTAATGTTTATTTAAATCATCAACATATATTACATTACATTTCTACTTCAGATATACTAATAATACATTCTAATAATACTAATATATCCTAAAAATAGCAGATTGTCATTGGCAACGGCAAAAGAGTGGAAACATCATTCGCACTTGTTCGAAAAAAGAACATTGTTTGTCTCGCGTAACTGCCGAACGGAAAGTCCATTGTTCGCAGCAAGTCCGTTGCTCGAGTCACGTAACGGTCAAACAGAAAGTCCGTTATACGAGGCACCACTGTATATATATAACAAATGAACCTCTTACAAAGATTTTTTGTGATGAATTATATATATATACCAATTAAAATGTGACCATGCCCTCCCTGGCAATGCAAGAAGCATTCTTGCAGCAATAATGTCAGTCATTAAATGGTCATATAACAGTTGACAGAAGGTTACACAAGCAATAGTTACAGTGTGCAAAAGCAGCATATTTATCTAACTTCAACAAAGGCAAAATTTTGATGGTCAGACATCCTGATGTTATCATCTCCATAACAGTGATGCTTATAGGCTATTTGTGTTCATTGGTAATCTGTCAAAGTTGATCCAAATAGCAAAACAACAAACATCACTATGTGTTAGCTAGCCATACTTCATTGATAAGAGGTTGGCTTAGGCTGTCTTGTCTCATGCAAAGAAATAGAAGGGCACTAATCTGTTTTTGAACTATAGAGTGAAAGAATGTTGCCTGGTCCAATGATTTGTTATACAATGTTGATGGTTGGGTATGTGTGTGACATTTACTTTACAAGACCTTGTCAGTTGAATGTACTGTAGGATGAACACAGGCAGGTTGAAGGAATGTGATGGTCTGGGCAACGTTTTCCAGGAATGCTTAACTACCATCCATGTAAATGGAACTCTGACAGGTGTTGCCTACCTGAACATTGTTTATGGCAACTGTGCTCACTAATGAAGATGCCTTCTATAGGCAAGACAATACTCCATGTCAAATATCTTGTACGTAGGAAATGGCTTACAAACATGAGGATAAGTTCCACCTATTACATGGCCACCAAATTTCCTTGACATGAATCTAATTGAGCACTTTTAGTATTCCTTGCCAGGTGCAAGATGTTTTGACAGCAAGAAAAAGAGCAACATTCTATTAAGTTTGTGGCCATAATGTTTTGGCTGGTTAGTGTATATCCAAACAAAACCATCTGAAATGTAAAAAAATTATGACAATTTAGATGACAGTCAAATTTTTTTCTTGACGTTTTTCTTTTCTAAAGATAAGTTTAGTGTTTTGAAATGGTACTCACAAGATTTTTAATGTTGTTTTCCAAAGAAAATCTTCAAAGAAAAAAATTTGACTACTATCTAAAATGTCATAATTTTTTACATGGTGCAGTTTTTTTACATCTCAGATGTTTTTATTTAGATATCAATTGTTTTTTGGTCAATGATGTACATTTTGGTCGATGCTCATTGACAGCTGCCAACTGAACACATTCAATATGCCATTTAGTAAAATCATTATAAAAAGTTTTAATTTATATAAATTTGAGCTTTTGTTATTCTGGATAACATTTTGAATAGAAATAATTTGTTTCAATGCAATTTTATCCTTATGAGCATAAAATTAAGCAATAAAAGTAAAATATCTCTATGGGGGAACCTGTGTAAACTTTGACCTCTTGATTTGGAAGTTTCATGAGCACCTCACTGATAATGAGAGAGGCTTAAGTTTAAAATTTGAGCTTTCTAGACCCAGTAGTTTTTTTGTCCGAGTGCATGCAATGCCACTTACAAAAAAATGCTGTATTTTCTTCTTTATCTGGCATAAAGAAGAAAATACAGCATTTTTGGTAATTTCTGCACTTTTTGATTGCTTATACTTTGGCAGTCCCTTATAGAAAAATTGAAATTTTTCACACTACCTAAGAAAACAGTTACCTTTGAAAGAGACATTTGGAATTACTTTAGACATTTTGGGGGAAAAATTGATAGAAAATCAGCAAATCTCATTCCTGTATGTATAATTTGTCAGTGACTTTTTACTTGATGCAGAGTCACTTCTGTTACTCTTGATAGTGATTTTTAGGAATTTTGAAAAATGTTTTTTAAAATTTTTATAGATGTAATAAAAATGTTATTTGAAGAAATTTTTTTTGAATTGCATACTTATTTGACGATTTTTTTATATGATACTATTAGATCTATTAAGTAAACTGATTGAATCAATAAATTAATATTAACCATTAAAATATTGAATTTTGTGGAAAAGTAAATAATTTTCAACATAAATAAAACCAAGGTTGATTGGAAATATTATTTTAATAATTACTTGTGTTACAGTATATATGTTAGAAAAACTACTTAGAATGAAATTTTTGAATATCAGTGAAAAATATATTAAAAAATTACATTATTCATATTAGGCTGAATGATTGAGAATGGAACTGTAAATATTAATATGATGATTGAAAATTTTTTGAAAATTATCAGTGACTGTAGAAAAGAAGCATATTAAAATAAAAACCAATAAATTATGATATTCTAAAAACTGAAATTACAAAAAAAATAATGTAGATATAATGAGAACATATATAAAGTGTTATATTGATAATGCAATTAAAGATTTATTATTAATTTCATTAATGTGCAAAAATTTTACAAGTATAAAATAGTCTAGACCAGGGCTTCTTAAACTATGGGTTGCTACCCCATTTGGGGTTGCTTAGCAAAATCTTGGGGTCGTGAGATTTTAATGCAAAATATTGAAAATAATTTGAGAGAGTTTGAAAATGGCATGCTTTTTGTCATAGGTTTCGTGAGTTGTGCTTTGTGTCACTTCTGGTGCAGGGAGACAATGATTCAGCAATGCTGATTATAGTGTGAACTAGTGTAGTGTTGTTGCTTTTCAGTGTATTCAATTGTTTCTGTTCCATTGTAACATAAGAGTGAACTGTGGTAGTACATCATTATTGCTTTTGAAAATTTGTATATATATTTATTTTATACTAGCTGGGGGCATCCAGCTTCGCTCAGGGAGTTGATATGAGATTGTGTGGTAGTTGGAATAAAAGGATAAACTTTAAAATATAAGAGGTAAAAAATTTTATTGAAAACATATTCTAACTATTTACAATACTTGTTTATAAACAACATTTTTCATTTTATTGTTCGGATACAAATTTTTCGAATTTCCTACTCAAGAGCAAGCTATGTATAATTGACCGTGAGAGAAGCAGGTGACTTTGAGGTTGATGCAGCAATGTTTTAAAGTGTGTCCTTGTGCTTTGTTAATTGTAAAACTATAGGCTAATTTGATTGGAAATTGCAGTCTTTTAAATTGGAATGGCAGTTCAGTAGAGATCAGTGGTATTCTGGGGATAAATACTGTGTCCCTTGTCCTTTCCAGTCATAAGTTTGGCTTCAATGATGATAATCAATAGATGTTTGATGATCATCCTTGTTCCATTACATAGTTTTAGTGAGTTCAGATTTCTGAGTAGTATGATCGGAGATCCAATTTTCAGTCGAAGGCAGTGTAATGGCATTTCTGGTACTTGCAAACAGTTTAGAAATTCTGTTGAGAAGTTGACACTTTCTTCAACGTTTACCATCGTATCAATCGATTTGTATATTCTCTTTTCACCGAGAATTTTCTTTTGAGTATTAAAGTTGATATCGTCGACTATATTATTTTTAGTTGCCAAAATTGCCCTTTGAAATAGCCACTCCGGATTGATATAGTTGTGAACAATGTTTGAATAAATTTATTTGATGAGTTCGTTTTTAGTAGTGGCTATGTTGCAAAAATCACTGTTGAGTTCAATGAGGCCGGTTGTCTTGTCAGTGTTGTCATGCTATTGTTTTGTCTCTCATATTTTTTGTTAGTCGCAGTATTTGTATGTGTGGCTAGAGATGTGATTTTTTAAGCATGCATTGATCTCATCTGCTGATGTTGAATTGGGATAACTGGAAGTGTTTGTCGAAAATCTCCTGATAGTATGAGTAGATCCCCTCCCATCACTTCAGAGTTTCCTCGCAAGTCCTGTAATGTTTTGTCCATGGCTTTGAATGATTTTTTTATGTGCCATTGTGCATTCGTCCGAGAAGATAATTTTAGCTTGTTTTAGAAGTTCATCCCGTCCAGATCCTCTTGAGATTTTACATACCAGGAATTGTTCTTCGGCTATATTCAACGGTAGTTGTAGGGCTGAATGCGCAGTTTGTCCTCCTTCCATAAGTGTGGCTGCAATGCTGGATGATGCCAGTGAATTGAGAGTGTTCTGGAATGTTCCATAATGATCTGGGATGTTCTGGGGTGTTCCCGAACGTTCCAGAACATCCTGGAACATTCTGGAATGTTGTGGAATGCTCTCGAATACTCTCAAGTGTTCTAGACTGTTTTAGAAATTTCTAGAGGGTGAAACTTCCAGCCCTTATATCTTTAACAGCATGCTGTTCAGGTAAAAATGGGAACCTTCTTCATGGATGGGGGATAGAGGGCTACCACACCATATAACTCCCTTGATCATACTGGGACTCATTTTTGAGTTTTAGCAGCACACACATTGTACACTTACCTTTATAATATATATTGATTTTTTTGGGTTGCGAAAAAAATCACAATCATAAATGGGGTCGCGAGTAAAAAAAGTTTAAGGAGCCCTGGTCTAGACTAAACTATCAAATTTAATTAAAATTTCTTTAGCTAGAGGAAACAACTTTCCTAAATAATATTAAAAACTATATACAATTTTAAATGAATAGCNTTTTTAAGCATGCATTGATCTCATCTGCTGATGTTGAATTGGGATAACTGGAAGTGTTTGTCGAAAATCTCCTGATAGTATGAGTAGATCCCCTCCCATCACTTCAGAGTTTCCTCGCAAGTCCTGTAATGTTTTGTCCATGGCTTTGAATGATTTTTTTATGTGCCATTGTGCATTCGTCCGAGAAGATAATTTTAGCTTGTTTTAGAAGTTCATCCCGTCCAGATCCTCTTGAGATTTTACATACCAGGAATTGTTCTTCGGCTATATTCAACGGTAGTTGTAGGGCTGAATGCGCAGTTTGTCCTCCTTCCATAAGTGTGGCTGCAATGCTGGATGATGCCAGTGAATTGAGAGTGTTCTGGAATGTTCCATAATGATCTGGGATGTTCTGGGGTGTTCCCGAACGTTCCAGAACATCCTGGAACATTCTGGAATGTTGTGGAATGCTCTCGAATACTCTCAAGTGTTCTAGACTGTTTTAGAAATTTCTAGAGGGTGAAACTTCCAGCCCTTATATCTTTAACAGCATGCTGTTCAGGTAAAAATGGGAACCTTCTTCATGGATGGGGGATAGAGGGCTACCACACCATATAACTCCCTTGATCATACTGGGACTCATTTTTGAGTTTTAGCAGCACACACATTGTACACTTACCTTTATAATATATATTGATTTTTTTGGGTTGCGAAAAAAATCACAATCATAAATGGGGTCGCGAGTAAAAAAGTTTAAGGAGCCCTGGTCTAGACTAAACTATCAAATTTAATTAAAATTTCTTTAGCTAGAGGAAACAACTTTCCTAAATAATATTAAAAACTATATACAATTTTAAATGAATAGCATATTAAATTATTGTTCAAAATATAATGTTATTATTTTCTAATTTTTACCATATCTGTTATATAAATATATAAAATGTTTTTCATGCACTTATATTTAAATTATATTTGTTCAGATAGTTGATATCATGTCAAGTGGCAGTAGTGGAGATGAATTTGAAGATGCTAATGAATGTGTTGATGTTGATGATGATATATTTCAAACATCATCATCAAGAAAACAAACATCTTTAAGTAAGTTTGAGAAATATGAATGATTAATTATATGTATATTTATTATAAAAGTAATTATCATCATATTTTTAGCTTATTTTACATATAGCTCTTAAATTTTTATTTTCTATATACTTTATAGACCTTCACACAATTTAGAAATATTCTGAGTAGTTTTCTCATGTGTAAATTTTTTATTTTCCAAGTTAAAGTATCAATTTGAAAAATAAATTGGAAAACATTATAAAAACCAAAGTGAAAACTTGCAATAAATTAAGTTATTGTCATTCTCTGTAGATAGAATTGATAAATTAATAGAAATATTGCACTGCTTATATAAAAAATTATTAATTTTAAAACAAAATCATTTTCTTATTGAATTCTATGAAGACATGAAAAATTTTAGAAGTACAGTAAAATCTGTCCAAAATGGAAAAGTTGTGATTTAACTATGTTAAATCTTACTATAAGCCAGAAGCCTGTCCAACACAGAAATGGAAGAGGTTTTTTTTTGATATAAATAATGTAATATAACCTGGGTGAAGTTGAAAATTAAGATTTTACTTGTAGACAAATATGTAAAATCACTTCTATCATAATAGTTAGTTACTGTCATAACAAACTGTAATTCAAGAATGATTTTGAACTTTGGTGGAGAAATGAAGGTCATGTGACAAGAAGTTGGTTGTTAATACAGTTGGTGATCAGTTAACGAATATAATCCATTCCAAGACCATGTTTGCTACCTGAATTGTTTGTTAACCAATTATTGATTTACCATACATCTTTACGGGAATTTGATTAATTCATTCTGGAGACCCCAAAAAAATAAATAAATAAATTATATACTTACTATGTTTATTTACATGAAATAACAAACTAAAACCAATCTCTCCATTTTTTTCATGTGTGGCACATCTTTGTTTCTCAGATGTGATTTTTGTTACTCCTTTAGCTGCTTGAGTTTTCTTGATTATATCTTTCTTAGCTAAGATTCTGCCTACTGTAGGCCTGGTCAAGCCATACTGCCTAGCAACATCAGACATCTGTCCACTCTCTACCTTAGCTATTATCTCTCGCTTGGTTTCTATGGTGAGCATGGTTCTTGATACTCCCACTCTTTTTAGGCTTGATAACATTATCAGTTTTTTTTTTTTTTATAAATAAAAAGTTTAGAAAAGCACTCACAAAAATTCAGATAACAGAAATCAACTATTGTACAAAATAATTATGTAAATGTGAGGCCCGAATGAAATTTGTTAAAACGTTAACAAATATCCGATAAGACAGTTAAATTCTCACCTTTTGAAAATAAAAAACTGACACAAAACGAGTGCCCAAGAGTCTCGCAAAGACTATAAAAAATTATTTGCCAGAAAGGTAAACAAAAAGCTGGAATTACAATGGAGAGTTTCAAGGTTTGGAGGAATACTATCTGATCGGTATTGGGTTGAGCATCGATGCCATCTCCTGCACTTAGAAAAGTTTTGAATTGTCACTTGGAGACAAGGAAAAACTAATCTGTATTCATTATTTTACATCACTTTTTTTTGTGTTTGTTCTGTGAGGTGTTTGTTGTCCAAACATAAAAATCTTTCGCAAAAGTGTTCATTGTCCAATTTGTCTGCAGTCTGAACTGTTTGTTAACCAATCACCCACTGTATTCATTTTGCTGGAATAAAGCAGGAGCATAATCAAATACTTTATGAATCACTTTCAAAAATCTAATTCTTCAATAAATATAATACAATGAGAAAAAGGTAGTGCATTCTGCTAATTTGCTTTGTATGGAGTAATTAGTAACTAACTAATACCAAGTATTTGAAAACAAGTTGATTAACATGTTGAAAATTACAGAAGTTGAAATAAACAATTAGAGTAATAAAATTCCTTGGAACCAGATAATAGAATAACTTTGTCCCTATTATTCTAATGTGATTAGAAAAGGCAATGGCAGAGCAAGACACTAGTTTTCAGAACTTGAATTGCCTTGTTTGCTGTCATATGAGCTTAGCACATAGAAACACATCCAAAAACTATTTGAATATCTAATGCAAGTTGTTGGAAACAACAAGAAAGTTTTGTAATCAAACAGTTTAATTCTTGCATTAAAATATACCCATCTCTATTTGGAATCACTTCGGATTAAGCTTAGCCTGTGCAAAATAAATTTTATTACTATGTAAAAGTGATTTTACTATAATAAAAAATGGACCTAACTGTGTGACTTATATGGTGTAGTTTAAAAATATATATACAGTAAAACCTGTCTATGGTGACCACCCACGGTTCCTTCAAAAAGTGGTCTTTTAGACAGGTGGTCGTCCAATACAGGTGGTTCTGTAATAACATATTTCCATACGTATTTTGTGCACTTTTTAGCCATTTCTACTAAAAAGCAAAACTCGAGGTGAGAAAAAATAAGCAAATTTTTTTAACAATAAAGCTATATTGGTATTGTATTTTATTCTTATCAGATAACCTAATTTACAGGAGTTGTCGGGATATTATAAGACAGATTTAATACCAATATTTTAAAGATTAATACAATACTCGCATTTTCTTGATTATAATGCACACTTTCTTTTTTCTGACTTAATTAATTCGACTTGGTTGTTTTCATTCGCTCCTCAGTTACATTTATTACATCATCGATGTACAAACACGTCCTATCTCTCCATTACTTTGGTTTTCATTAGTTTAATCTTATTTTAACTTTAAAAATATTATATTTTTTAATATTTAATATTTTCAACAAGAAAAATTATCAATTAATAATAAAATGATTTTATTATTTTTCCTCATAATACGATTTCATTACATAAAAGGAAGGTTGTCTGTAAAACTGATTTTTGTATTAATGCATTTATTGTTTTTTGAGTATTTTGTGTGCAAAAATTACTTGGATATTATTTTTCTAAAAATATCATGGAAATAAGGTAGGTTGATACAGAAACTATTTATCGCACATGTACTGTATATAAACTTCAAAAAAATAAATAAATAAATAAAATAAATTTTACCAAACGATGAGATCAGCCGATTAATTGTATTGTGTACAATATTTTATACCCCTAAGGAAAATACTGTAGGTCTATAGTAAAATAAATTTTGTTTTCCCACAGTTAAACTTCGCTGCTAATTGCCATTGTGATAAACCATTTTCACTTTCTCCGATAATTTTAACATGATCTTCTAACAACAGCACTTTGCATTTCTTTCGTTTTTCGGACATTTTTCAACAAACTGAAATGAATTTCCTTTGTTGCTAGACTAATTTATTAACACCTGCACCTAATTTCAAGGGTGGGAGAAGTGCCCCGGGGTGGATTCAAACAAGAGTTTAGACTAATTCATCATATTAGGAGGGAGAAACATTGTTGAGATGGATTCAAACAATAGTTTAGACCAGATATATTCACAGAAATGGTTGCTTATTACAGTTGTTGTATGTTGTTTCTGACCAAAAATCAATGCCCGCGATCGTGTTACACAGGTGGTCATTTAATACAGGTAACTTATATGAAGACTCTATGGATAAACTATTCGGTGCCAGAAATTTTTTCCTGTTTTGTCAGGTTCCTGTCGAATGCAGGTGGTTGCCTAAGCAGTTTTCACTGTATTTTATATATATATTTGGTACTGTGTGATTCCAACTTACAAAGGTTTTACTGTATTTAGATTGAATATTTTTAGGTTATTCATGTCTCTCAATTCTTGGCCTTTTGTTATAAGATCAGTATTAAGAAACTAATTATAAATATTTATACAGATAATAAAATAACAGAATTTGAATTATTTTTGCTTTCTGAATTAAAATTTTTTTCAGTACCTGAGAATATAGAAGATGAAAATAGTGCATTGGTACATTTGAATATGGAATTTATAAATAGGTCTGAGATTGTTTTTAAATTTTATGCTAAAAGTTTTGTATTGTAAAATTTTAAACTTTACATGAGCTTATTTATTTTAATTTCAAGATATGGAGACTGCCATCCAATATTTTTTCAGGGAACACTATCAGATGCTCTTCAACATTCTTGCCAAAGACCAGCTAATGAGGTATTTAGAAATTGTAAAATATAAAGAAACTATCTAAGTTTTTATTATTTTTATTTGATCTTTATAATTTTAACTTTGAATTTCAATGAAATTCTTTATTTTATCATTTCTAGAGAAAGCCTCTGATAATATATCTTCACCATGATTCCAGTGTTCTAACAAATGTATTTTGTACTCAACTACTCTGCTCAGAAACTATTGTGACATATCTCACGCAAAATTTTGTAACATGGGGTTGGGATTTAACTCATGAAGTTAATAAAACTAGGTAATAAAATTATATTTTGACTTTTTTAAATAAATATCTTTTTTTTGAATATTTAATTTTAAAAAGTAGTGTACAGATTACTTCTGCATTAATAAGAACTCAAAATTTTTTATTTAGCTAAGATAATGATAAACTTTAGAATTTATTTTCTAACATCAAAATTTAATACCAATTCTGTAAAAATTGAAAATTATTTTTCCTTAACATTTTGAGTATTTTAAAATTTGTTTTAATTTCATTGTTGCTTTGTATTAATATTATATTCTGTTTTGAATCTAATGATGATTTGCAAAATACCAATAGTTCAAATATTTATAAAATAAAAACTATAGATGACTTACAAAACACCAAAAATATTTTTAAAATTTTTTTTTATCAATAATAGCATTTGTGACTTATGTTGTGTCAAGAATATGAATTTGAATAAATTAATATTTGAATGATATAGATCAGATATACAACTAAATAGGCTGTAGTTGATGTGAAGTAGAATTGTTTTGTGGCCTTAATAATAATAGCCTCATTTTATAATTAGTGTTTTTGTTTCTTGATGATGATAGACATTTACAAAAATAAAAATTAAAGTAATTTATGTATATGAGTTTAAACTTTTATTCTGAGTTTTGATAATGCAGTTGATTGATCTTAAGTTTCATTGAGTAACAGATTATATGATAAACTTTAAAAATAAAAATATGATAAAATGTGAAAATGTGTATAACTTGATATTTAAAAATATACTGTAGTTATGTAACTTTTTTATTTCTCAAGAGTGTAACTCTATTATTCATTTTGAATTAACTTATTGATAGGGTGTTATATATTGTGTGAGACATGTTAATATTTGTATAATTGTAAACAGGGCTGAAAATTTCTAAAACAAAAGAAAAAAAAAAAAACCTTGTATTTAGAAGAAATCAAAATTATTAGTCTTTTTAACCATATGAACAAAAAGTTTTATAGCATTAATAACTTAAAACTAAAATTTATGCTATAATGATTTGTCATTGCAATTACATTCATATTAAACTTTTATAAAATAAATGTGCTTGCTTTGCTAAATACACTCATATCCAAAAAATAAGCACAATCATTAATTTGGTCTCTCTTAGGAACTACTGATCACAACAGTATGAAATGTAACATATAAACAGTACATTATAATACAACAGACCAATTGAAAAAGCAAAAATTTAATCTGAATTAGTACTGAGTATTGTCATAAATCTTTTTGCACAGAAAATGATTAATATAATATGTAGTTGCCTCCTGCATATACACATGCTGCACAGATTGTTTATGCAGGCATTGCTGGCTATACATTGCTCCCAACAGAACTGATAAACAAAGTCCATTTTTGAACAAGAGTGTCTTGATGGATCTTGATAGATGCAACTTATCTCCCTAGTATACATGTTATATGGGATTTAGGTCAGAGACATTGCCAGCTATTCCATGCAATAAATATCTTCACTATCAAAAAAAGTCATAGATGAGAGTAACTCTGACCTTACTGTCCATGAAAATGAAATCTGCACCACAGAACCTTGGGAAAAGTCTCATGAGGTTTTAGAACCTCATCTTTGTACCTTCTTGCTGTAATGGCACTGTTGCAAAAATGTGGAGCTCAGTGCAACCATTAAATTAATTAAAGCATAATGCTACCCTGGACCATTGTATCACCACCAGCAAACTGATCTCTCTAAGATTGTATTGGGAATAGCTTTTGAATAGCTAGGAGTTCAAATAGACTGTGCAGTACCTGTACACTTATCTATGGATTGAATGATTATTTTTGGACATTCATTGACTAAATTATATTATTTACAGTTTTGTGCTCAGAGTTTTTTAAATTGATAATCTAAATAAGACTTTTGAATTTTGTTTGTATAGTCCTTACATGAAACAAGATTTATGTATTTCATATAATAGTGTTATTTTGTAGTAATTAATGTTATTTTGAAAATTTAAAAGTTTTCTTATATAAACATTGCTTATAATGTTCAAATGAAATGCTTATTTGTAAACAAACTGGTATTATTATAATCTGTAAACCTTTCTAAACTTGAAAAATTTGTCAAAATTTTTAGAACAAAAATATTTATATTTTGTCATAGAAAGCATACTTTATTATGCTTTTAAGTACTAGTTTTTCAAATGTTTGTAATATAAATCAATTTTTTGTAATACTTTACTACATTAATGTAAAGATTTACAGAACTCAAGATAACAACTTAATGCTTTCTGAATTTCATGAATATTAAATGATTTTACTACGTAGATTGTATGATTCTATAATAATTGAAATAATTCAAATTTTTCAATTAGATTTTATTCATGTTCAAATTTACTCGTGTTTTTTGTTTAAGGTTTTTAACTGCTGTCACACAGCAATTAGGTGTTGTAGCAGCAAATGCCATTCAGAATATTGCAGTTGATCATTTACCAGCTCTCATAGTAATTACAAGAATAAGATCTGCCACAGAAGTTCTCACAGTTATCCCTGGTAAAACTCATCATTGATTGATTTTGATTTTTCTAATAAAAAATGCTTGCATTCAAAATATATTAATAAATTTTTAATGAATTCAGGTAATGTTAGTTTGGATGAATTAATGACTCGTTTGATACATGCAGTAGAAGTATTTAATAATGAATTGTCTTCAGAAATATTACAAGAGGTAGATATTTTCAATGTAGTTAATGTTTATAAAAATAAATTTCTTACTATATAAAATAATTTTTGAATTTAGCAAGCTAGACTAGCAAGAGAAGAAGTTAAAAGAGAACAAGATGCAGCATATGAAGCATCATTAAAAGCAGATCAAGCAAAAGTAAGACTAAAATACTTACATTTTAATATAATTAAACATATATTTAATATAAATTTAGTATTTAGTATACAAGTATAAATTTTTTCTCTTATAGTGAGTTGTAAGTAACATAGTAAGTTGTAAGAAATATTAAAAATTTATACTGAAAAACTTTTTTATAACATTTATTACTATATTAATAATAATTAGTGATGTAACGAATATTCAGTTACTATTCAGTATTCGGCCTATTTTTCGCTATTTGGCCGAATACCGAATATTTAATCACTATTCGGCCAAATACTGAATACCTAAAAACAGGAGTAAGAAATAACAAAAACACAGTAAATTAATCATTTTGGTATTTAGATTTAATGTTATCCGGTTAGTGTTGTTTGTTTATATTTATTTATAACTTATAACATGCACAAAATAAAAAAGAACATATTAGTCACTTGCATTCACAATTTATAATTACAAAGATCAGCACATGTACACAACTATTCGTTCGAGAATCATTGCACATATCTGAGGGTCTGACCCTGCCTATCCTTCTTCTTGAGCGCTCATCTTTGCTCTTCCCTTTCTCTTTCCTCTATCTCTCTAGTCTACATATGCCTATGCATACATCATAATAGGCACTCACGATACTTTCGATTCGTCACTTTTCTGTCATCCATTTTATAATTACGTGACTCATAGCCTGGTGATAACGGAGAAAAGAGACAGATAGGACGTCGGTATAAGTCACAGTTATGATTTCACAGATTTGAGACAGCTTGGTAGCCTGAATGATCCCAGGCTTTTGCCCGTGCACGCTAAGTGACTTTCATTACAAGCATTTAGCTTTCCAAAGTCTATGACAACAATTGTTTGGCATTGACGGCCACAAATTTCACATCAATAAGCTGCTTCAACTTGTTCGATTATTATATTAATAAATAAACACACCTGTTCGATTATGTTATCGACTCAATTTTATATTTATTTTCACTTCGCGATCCTTCTCTGTTCTTTTTCTGTTATTTACATGTGTAGGTCATTTCACTGTTATCCACATTTGATATCATCATTTATCACATACTGCCACAATGCTCTTGTCTGTCCACTACAACTGTCAAGAATTAACGCAATTGAAAGCGTAGTGACAGCGAGCCAATAGAGAGCAAGGTCCTTGCCATAATGTGGTTTGCACGCCAATTTTCTTACGTGCGTTAATTGAACCGAATATTCGGCTATTCGGTCATGCTACTAGCTGAATATTCAGTATTCGGCCTGAGGCCGAATATACTATTCGTTACAACACTAATAATAATTGATTATTAATATATAATTTGGGTTTGGTTTATTATATAACAAACACTCAGAATTGTTACAAAAATTCTATGGAATATATATAATGTAAATGTAAATATGTTATGAAAATCAATAATATGTAGAATAAAAGCATATATGTTCCAGAAAAATAATTTTTTTAATTTATAGTTTGCAATGATTTATATATCAAAAGTAAAATTGCCAAATGTCTTATATTTTGGTTATCAATCTGGTATTCCTTAGCATTCAATATCACATCTACAAACTTCAAAAATAGTTTATTTTGTTCCATATATTTACAAAGATTTGTTCCCATTAGAAAAACTTGACTACTATTTCATAGAAACAAATCTTTTTGTTTCCATTATCTCGTATTTAGATATGAAAAAGTTTAATTCTAATCTGGAGGAAAGAAATTAGAGGAGGGGAAGCTATGTAACTACTAGTCTACTTGTATTCTTATGCTACTTGGTCAATAACATGTTCATTTTCAAATCATCATAAATAATAATTTATTGATAAAAGCCAATAATTTTATTTTAATCTTTCATTGATGGATAGATTACAAGAAGTATATTTGAACACAGTTATGCAGAAAGCTACTAACCCTCAACCTGCTTAAACTGAGTAAATCATGTTTAAAGTTTTTCATTTTCAAAATAAAAAAATAAACTGTGGGTCAGCCACTGAGCTTTTTAAAGACATTAATAGTAGCTGTGCAGTTTGGTTGTTTCTGTAAAATGAAGATTGTACAATACTGAATTTGTATTCAGCTTCAACCCATTTTACTTTCCCAGGTATTAGGTATAGGAATTGTTTTAATTTTGACCCTCTGAGTTTTTTGAAAATCTCCATGTTTTGAGATCTGAATCCTAAAATGTCAAAAAAAAAAAAAACAGCAAAAAAATTCCATAAGGATGTATTGGCATCTATTTTGCTTAATATATCAGGATGGGGTAAAGATTAAGAAACAAAATTTGGCTTGGTGGCTTGTATATGAGGGACATTGATGCTATTAAATTTTGGTTGTTAAAGGTTGAAAGGATAAGGAAATGAAGGGGTATAATGTGTCCTATCTTGAGAAGGGTAGGACTTAACGAAAATTTTATTCATTATTAACATTTACACTCTTACAAAACTCACTCTACCCTCAAAATTAAGCTTTTTGCCATTTTTATAGTAATTAGAAACATAAGTTTTTTTATAACAAGCTTTCAGATGGTGCCACACACAATTTTTTTTTGTGTTTAATAATATAAAAGTTCTTATATTAAGGGCTAGAAGCAACTTTTGTAATAAGTTCTTTTTAATAAAACTCATAACAGCTGGAAAAGTGACATAACTCTCATTGCTAGTATAGATAAAGTTAAAATATTCTAAATTTTAGAAATTTGTAAAATTGTATACTTTATTAATGTATTATAAATTACAGCTATGAATATATTTTAGTAATATGTCAAAAAATCAAAACTTTTTCTGTTAAAAAATCATAAAAATTTTTTTATATTCAGGAAGAAGCTAGGAGATTAGAGTTGGAGGAAAAGAATAAGAGGGAACAAGAAGAGCAAATGGAATTACAAAAATTAGAAGAAATGAAAAAACAAGAAGAAGCAATCAAAGAAGTAAAATTTTATATACTATAAAAATCAAAATATAAAATTTTAAATTATTAATTGCTATTTTTCATTTCTGCTAGGCAATTTGCCAATCTTTAGCTGAACAGTTACCTATGGAACCACCAGAAGATAGTCCGGAATCTATTAGTCATATTCGAATTCGACTTCCATGTGGAGAATATATTGACAGACGATTTTTAGTGTCTTCTCCATTGCGGTTTTTATTAATGTTTGTAGCTTCAAAAGGTTATCCTATGGAAGAGTATAAAGTTTTAGCTAATTGGCCAAGACGAGATGTAAGTAAAACTTGCTTATAAATTTTATTTTCATAATAAATTTATAATTTATAAATATTAATATATTTTTAGCTAACAACATTACCACAAGAACATACACTGGGTGAATTAAAACTTTATCCTAAAGAAACTCTTACATTAGAAGAAAGATGAATATCTAAAATAATTAATTATTGCAATTGTTTATTATTCCTATTCTCTGCTATTAAGCAGCTGGTTCTGTGGTACAAAAAAAGGAAAACTACATGTACACTTCTCAGAGCCTCCAAGGAAATATTTCATGTAAGTTTGTGTGGTGATGTGCATAGCTTAATGTTAAGTCTGGTGTCACTGTATAAACATAGTAGAAAAGCAAGAGAAAATTAATACCTGATCAGAATTTAAAACAAGTCAATTTTATAATAGTCTGTTTGAAAATGCACATTTGTATTTTTTTAATTAAAAAAAAAATGAATGAAAAGCTTACAGCAGCTGACACAATACATAATTACTTCTCTCCTTGGAAGTTTTCCTCGATAGTCTTTATGCAGTAAACTGCTAAAAAAAATTTAAAAAATATAAGTTAGTGAAGAAAATATGAAAAACTGTGATAAAATATTCTGTCAAGCAAAACTTCATCCAGGGGATGTCCAAAATTTACATCAAGTTTGCACATACAAGATAGTGCAGCAAAAATGGCTTCAGGCCATAAATTTTGATGATTTGAATTTTGTACATTATGCCCATGCTCGACTATAAATATAAAACATTTTCAGTTGTCCAGCAACAGAATATGTAAAATATTATTTATTTAACACCAAAATTTTTGTAGAATTAGATACATATCTTCTGATCTCTTCATGTATTCTCAAAAATACTAATAATTCAGCCTTCTAATTTTAAAATTTACAATGAAAATTCTCTGTCATAATTACTTCAATATGATCAAAAATTTTCTTCACCTTTTTTACTTTATAAAATAAAAAATTTGGCATTTTTATCATAAGACATCTCGAGTGTGAAAACTTTTTTGCCATTGTACTATATATGTAATAAAGAAAATTGTAAATTTGTGTGAAATGAAGCATAAAAGAATTCTTTCTGATCTTAATTTTTTTATACTCTGATAAACAAATATCACATGCAAAATTTGAGTTGAGGAATAAAATACAGTGTGTTAAAATATGTAATTTTAATTTTGAAACAATCAGTTGTGTGAATAATATAAATACATACCATAATTTTTTATAGTAATATTATTACTGTTAATGAAATCTATAAAATATGTAAAATAGTATAATTAAATGAAGACAAGTAAAATGTGGCCCATTTTACTTTCCCAGGTATTAGGTATAGGAATTGTTTTAATTTTGACCCTCTGAGTTTTTTGAAAATCTCCATGTTTTGAGATCTGAATCCTAAAATGTCAAAAAAAAAAAAAAAACCAAAAAAATTCCATAAGGATGTATTGGCATCTATTTTGCTTAATATATCAGGATGGGGTAAAGATTAAGAAACAAAATTTGGCTTGGTGGCTTGTNATATTTAAATAATCATTTTTAGTTACAACAATTACTGGAAAATTTATTTTAATCAGTCAATTTGCTATAATCATAGAAAGAATTGAAAAGATGTTTTAGAGATATAATATATAAATGTGTATATATATAATGATTAGAGGAAGAAAAGTACAAAATTTTCTTATTATATTATGATTTGTTAATGTGATAGATGGCTATTTACAGAAATATATACTGTGTGTGTGTGTTATACAGGGTGATCCAAGACAAGAATATTTTGCAAAACTTCACCAATGAATTCCCTATCACAAAATACAATGAAAATGTATAATCAACAGAGGTCATAATATCATGCATTTCTGAGATATAAGCCACAAGGATCACATCAGTTCCATACCATAATATGTTACAAGTGCATGCATGAAACAACTTTATTCCTTACAGTGTACATGTTAAATGTGTTACAGCTGCTTGTGATACCATACACAAAGTACCTGGCTTTTTTGAGCAGTTTAGAGAATTTGTAAAGGTGGCTATAGATGTGTGACAGCACACAGAGGACATTTCAAACACTTTCTGTAAGCAAGAAACAATTACATTTAACATTATACTGTAAGGAATAAAGTTATGTTACACTTGTAACTTTTTGTTTCTTTAAGGCATGTTGGTATGGGAATGATTTGATCTTGACAGGCTAGTATCTCAAACACACAGGTATTATAACTGCTGTTGATCATATACTTCTGTCCATTTTGTATTGGGGAATTCATTGATGCAGTTTTGCACAATTATCTTAAATCACCGTGTGTGTGTTTCATACACACTAAATTTTACAATATTCACTACTAAAATAGAATCTCATTTTAACAATTACTTGGCCTGCCAAAAATCATTCTTTGTTCCAAGAATCCATTATATTGTGAACAATGGATTTTCTGCACACCTAGGAAAATATCCATTATTCGAAAAAATTGACATTTTTTTAACCCCCTGCATATAAGAAATACCAGTATTTGAAATTATTCAGTCTCTTGAGATTGCTATTCTTTATTCTATAAAAAAACCTGTTACAAGATTGTATATTCTACTGTATGTGTGTACAACAAAGCTGACGGAAACTGAATATATTGTAAGCACAGAAAGAGGCAAATTATGTGTTCCTATTAGCACTTTACTTGGACTTCATAATTTGTTAAAAATCTCTTCCCGTCGTGGTTTGTTTTGATATTGCTTTTCTGTGTATTGAATGCAACAACTGTTTGAAATTAGCAATGTCATGTACAGCAGCAATTGCCACAATTTAGACTAACTCTTTGATTTTATTAATGTTTCTAAATATCCTGATATCTCAGATTATTTGGTTTCAGTCCCAGTTCGATTGTATTCAAAAGATCTGGTCTGCAACAAGTACAGTATTCTCGCTGGGTAATATATGGTAAGTATATGAATTATAGCAGATGTAATTTACTGAAATGTTCTATTCTGTTCATAAGAAAATACATCGTTTCTATTTGGATATGCTATGCCATTGATAAAGCATAATTACAATAATGTCCACATGTGTTTTCTAAAAACATATGTATGTAACACTTCTTTAATGAGTATATTGCCATATTCAATCAGTATAACTGGATATAAATCTGTATATATATTAAAAGCAAAATCTTCCATCATAGCCCCATACAAATACCATAAATTTAATTTGATTTTACATTTTGAAAATTTTCAAAACAGCTTTTAAATGGTTTTTAAAAATGTTTTAATATTCAATTGATTTGATTTTAATTTGGTTTTGGTGTAAAGGCCAGAGTTTAAATTATATTGTTTTTGGTTTTAATTAATTTTTAGGTTTAATTTACTTAGTATTACGTGTAATTAAGTTTTAGTATTTATAATTATTTTTTAATAATAATTATAATTTATTACTATTTATGTAATTTTGCCTGCAATTTTTTTGAATCATTGCAATTAATTTAAAAAAATTATAATTCTCTGTTTTTTCTTTTGCTACATAACTGTAAAAATTGTTTGTTGTTTTCCACGAAAGATAATCAAATTTTAATTCATTAAAAATTTGTTTAGTAATTCCATTAATTTTTGTTTTATGAATTTGCCTGCTTCTAAAAAATTTTTTTAAATTTAATTTTGAATGAGTTGACATTAATTGATACTGAGCTTCCTAGTAGGATATAATGCTTTGATAAATATCAGTGATAAACAGTATGATCTTATTTTATACTATTTATCATCAATAGTTATACTACATTAAATCAAATTACATATCAACCACTACAATATTATAGATAAATATGTTGGTTATATATGGATAAGTTTCCTGACAATTATGTAATACTTATAAGTCCATGGATGGATTGTTTGAAATTCTTGTACAATATGGTGCATTTCTCTAATGTGTAAATTGAAATTTATCATTTACTTAAATTTTGCTCTCAGAGTGAGCTAAATATTAGTATTTATTGCTATGAGAATATAATGGTGGTCCTCTGCTCTTATTGATTTTTCATGTTATCAATCATAACACACATTTATTCAATGCAATATTATTACATACAGTAGAGTCCCAGAAACTCTACTCTCGATAACTCGAAATTACATGTCATGTAGGTTTTTAATGACATGACACGTAACATGTCATGATAACTTTTATGAAATATAATTTTTACATCTAAATTACTATTCTTCACTGGTAACATTGATAATAGCATCAACTCCACATGTTAATAAAGAATATAATCCTTTTTTCAAGATACCACTGCAAAACACCATACCTCAAATGTCACTAACTCAAGAGTAGTCGATGAATAGCTAATATTTTTTAAAATAAAAATTGTCACTATTGGTACAAAGTCAATACACATGCAATGGCCTTTAAGGAAACTTTCACTGTTTAGACTAGCATCATCATTATGCCACTGTACAATATGTTAAACAAATTAGTTAATTTACTAGAACTCTGTTACGGTTGGCAACATGCTACTGCCAAAGAAAAGATGGTCAAATTTTACCAGTATTTTAACACAATCACATTTCTCTCACTTTACTGTTATCACAGGAGTCAGTAAAACTCAGTCTACATTGAGTTGCATTTGTGGTACTCTACTCTTTATGAATGCAATACAATAATAATGTATATTGATCATTTTCATTATGATTTTTAATAGCAAAAGTTTTTATAACAACTCATATCATTAATAGTCATAGATAATTTTGCCAAATTATAATACTATTATCATAAATTCTTATGCTAACAGTGAAGAGCAATCTTTTCTAGATATGGGCTGCAAGTGAACTTAGTAGCCTTTTGGTGGGCTGTATGCATTTTTTTCTTGTGGTATTCCAGGCTTTAAGCACTTAACTGCTGACATCCAACTCCATAACTGCCAATAGACTAGGTAATAAAATACATGGAATATATCCTAATGATGTACAAACTAGTAATATATACTTCTAAATATCACTTTTGGTAGCTGTTATTATGTTCTATGTATGTATGTCTCTCTCTTAGTCTACCAAACTTAATGTCGGATTAAAGAGACAATCATTACAGCTTTCAGGTTAGACACTTTTTTTATTGTCAATAAAAGAAGTGTCTAACCTGAAAGCTGTAATGATAGTCTACCGAACTTAATGTCAGATTAAAGAGACATACATACATAGTAATATATAGTTTATTCTCTTTTCACTGATCAAGTTTAGTTTGAATGTTGTTTTGTCACAAATATCAGCTTAATTAGGGTTTCATAATGACAGCAGAATACAAAAACAAAATGCTGCATGTTGCTCATAACTACACTATATGGTTCTTGGCATCGACATTTCCTAACTGTTTGAAGAAATATGAATTCAAAGAATGATGAATTTATATATATATATATAGTGTGTATATCATACATAAATTGGTTTCCAAAAATTAAGAAATAAAGTTTAATTTGAAGGTTTCATAAAATATCTGCAGTAAAATGGATCAATCTAACAAGTGTTTAATATATAAGCTAATTTACATATTTAGAAAAGTTTATCTTTTTAAAGGTGAATATTTTAAAGCTTTCATTCGTTTGTTCTAATATGACTTTTAATTAAATGTTTATGTATATCTTGGAAGGATGTCGACTCTACTCGGCTGCCTTCTGACCTTTTAGCAGCAACAAGAATTAGGGTTATTTTTTGCAAAGGAGATGTATGGTTTGCATTCCTTTTGTCTTTCAGCATAAATGAATCTGACTCAATCGGTGCATGTATTATGTCAACTGGATTCATGATTAATTTAATGAAGGTCTGTTCTCTTTACAGGCGAGTCCAGATTTTCACTAGTGATTCCAAATGATTACATGCCTCTGGTTCCTTTCTGATAATTAATCATCCCTCAAATATTTTTAAAACAGTTACATAAGATGGATTAGTGTTATAGTATGGGGCAAAATCTGGATGTCCACACAAATCTTTTTGCTGTAAACAAGTTCCATAAATTCTCAAAAATATAGGAATAAAATCCTAGAATTCTATATCAAGCCATTTTTTTGTGAGATTGGTGACAGGATGATGATGCCAGCCTTTGCAGAGCAGTATTTTGTGCAGAATAATGTCACCTGTATAAATTGGCCAGTTTGTTCTGCCTCTGTCGCAGCCCTGACCTCAACCCAAAATTACAGCAGGACACATTAATCCGTTCCTGACCTCCAAAACAAAGCCTTTTTCTTTTACTATCTTTTTAGCTGTATGACATGCATAAAAATGTCCACAAATGCAATATAACAATGATAAATATATCATTGTTTAATAAATTTTTGTTATTAATAAAAACTGCGTTAATTGACATTCACATAATACAAATGGCAATAATTTGTGTTGCTTAAATTAATATTATTAGATTTAACTGCGGCTCATACTCAAAAACAAATAGTTACTTATGTTTGTTTATATTGTGTTGCGTATTCTATTTGTATACTAATAATGAATGAATTGTCATATAAGGACGTTATTTGCAACAACGTGCAAAGAACCTGTGTAGAAAGAATGGTTAGTGTAACCAAGGTATGTATTCTAAATTTATAATCTTGTAAGGAACCAAGTCTGAGCTTTATTTTTATTTTACTTTTATTTTGCTTTCATTATATTTTGTTTGGGGCTTATGTTTATTTAAGACGAAGGTTTCCTCACCATTCACCTTAGTAACTTAAAAATAGAAGAAAAACCAACTCACCGACGAAAGAAAAGCGCCGTAGAAAAACTCGCGCACACTTGCGCTTCCCAAGCGGAAAAAGTAAGTCCGCACCGAGAAAAANTGCGTAGTAAATTTACTAATTAGTAAGAAAAGAGTTAAAGGAATGACTTTGTAATACACATTCCAAGCTATTTTTCCTTGTCTTTAACATAAGGAAAAATAGCTTGGAATGGGTTTCTTCGACTTAATATTCTTGAATTATCGATTTCTGTTGAATAGAAACAACTAAGATGAAAAATAAGAATTTTTTTCAGTGCTATCAATAGTGAAAACGTTTATCATCGTTCATCACAAAATTTATAACAACCATGCTTAGCAATTTTTCATTTGGCAGATGATCAACAGTTCATAATTTTATTTAAATTAATTTTAGATGGTTACATATATAATTATTTACTTCGCATTACTTATAAATAAGCCATGACAATTTTAAATAAGTAATGCGAAGTAAATAATTATATATGTAACCATCTAAAATTAATTTAAATAAAATTATGAACTGTTGATCATCTGCCAAATGAAAAATTGCTAAGCATGGTTGTTATAAATTTTGTGATGAACGATGATAAACGTTTTCACTATTGATAGCACTGAAAAAAATTCTTATTTTTCATCTTAGTTGTTTCTATTCAACAGAAATCGATAATTCAAGAATATTAAGTCGAAGAAACCCATTCCAAGCTATTTTTCCTTATGTTAAAGACAAGGAAAAATAGCTTGGAATGTGTATTACAAAGTCATTCCTTTAACTCTTTTCTTACTAATTAGTAAATTTACTACGCATAGTCAATCAATAGAAAAAAAAATGCCAATTTTAATGAATTAGAATAATTTCTCTTTATTTTGTCACCTCTTAACTTCTGAATCGGTTGGGCCGTCGACCATCTGTCTCTAATCTGTGGAGGGCTTTTGCCAAGTAGCTTGTTCGGTAACCGGTGCAATTGAGTTTGAAATTCTATTCGTGGTCTATTTCTTTTTCTAATGCCATCTAGAGATACTCAAAATAAAATTATGCAACCGTTCAATAATTTTTTTGCTATATTACATCATTTCCAGTGAACTGAGAAAATTAACACTTATATCTAAGTTTATTTACTTGAATATGTCTAGTGAAAAAAAATTTTTTTTACGAGTAGGCGATTAGTTATATTTTATAAATTTTTGTTTTAGCACCGTGCTTTTGTAAACCTGCTGGGGAGGGACCTGAAGGTCCGAAACACAAAGGGTGTACATGTATAATACAATGTGAAAATATTGTTTGTCCCTCTTAAGTTTTTACCTCGGTTGCAAAAACCAAAACACCAGTGTAATATGTCCTATTAATAAGCTTAGTCCTCGTAGACAAACATTTAATAAATTGACCAACCAAATACCAATGCTATCATTCTTGCTACCAACTGATCTGTATACATTATACAACCAGGATAAGCAAAGACACGGTCACTCTTGAAGTCCCCCCCCTAAACGATATATTGGCAAAACCCTGGAAATATAACAACATTTTTGAATGCCGCATAGTAAAAACTTTCAATAAATCCAAATAGTTTTAGTACTTAAACTAATGGTCTAACTTTAGATGAGATCAAATCCTGATCTTTGATTGTGTTCAAGGAAAATGCTTAAACAAGCTTTGTACTTCCATTTTGAAATAATAAGCAGTGACTTTTCTTTCAGTGATTAAAAAAATTAATGTACAGCAAGCCGTTTATATAATATAATAAGCAGTGACTTTTCTTTCAGTGATTAAAAAAATTAAAACTGAAAAATGTTTTATCACTGAAAGATTTCAGCAAAATTAGAATATCTTGTTGAAATCAATCTCTGGAAGTAATAAATATTGAAATGGTTTCAAAGTAAACTTTTGCTAGTGGCAGGCATTGTAGAAAGGGTAAAAAGAAACAATTTTATCAGCTTCTGTTGAATGCTAATGCAGTACCATAGCCAGAATTTACTCAAAATATTCAATCAAAAATAAATTACTATTTAAGTTTGGCATATGAAAATATAATTAGTTCAGAATATCCTTAGTGTATTTGCATTGTATAACTAGAAGGATCTATGCTATGGCTTAATGTAAAAAAAAAATTTGTAGGTAGAAGTATTAAAAACAACAAAAATAACTTCAGAGTTTCTGGAAATTTATTCAAATAATTTAATATATTAACTTGAACATTGTCCTTTGCAATACTGCAAATGTGTAATTTACAAAGATAAGAATCAAAAGTTGCTCACAATTTCAGTAGTGCATGAAATTATGTATTCTGTACTCATTCTTTTGTATGACTAAAATCTGCTTTATATGTGTACTGTATAAATCTAATCTTGATGGAAGGTGTGCAAATCCTGCCAAAATACATAAATACATCTAAGAAGTTTCCAGTGAGAATATTGTAGTAGTAATAATCATAATAAATACTAAGATGAAAAATAAATACTGGAATGTCAGACGGTAATTTGACTAGATGTATTTAAAATATCATTAAAGTGGAATGTTGCAAGGTCTTCAAGGTAGAGAGTTATCTGCATCAAGTAACATTTCGTCTTTTTCTCGGTACAGGCAATAATGCTGTATCATGAAGAGGATATCAAAAAGAATTGATATCATTCCCAGTCCAAATTTTGTAAAGTTTCCAAAAATTGAAGTCCAGTCATCTAAAAAGAAAAAGTAAATTAAGTACACAATCAAGCTGTAATTCTTCATAAAGTTAATAAATGTGAATAAAGATAAATATAATTTGCTTAAAAACTGAGTTATCTTTACAATTATTATTTGTCATTTATATAATTTTATATTTATAATACAATACCTTGATTTTGATCCATTTTATATATAATTCTGTGCATAGTTTTATAAAAAAAAATTTTTTAATTTTGTATCTTGAAAACCTTAAATAAAACCTTAAATTTGCTTAAAAACTTAACTAAGGTTTTCAAGATACAAAATTAAAAAATTTTTTTTTATAAAACTATGCACAGAATTATATATAAAATGGATCAAAATCAAGGTATTGTATTATAAATATAAAATTATATAAATGACAACAATAACAGAATAGTGTGCATCTTACATATGTAATCATCATATCAAAATGTTGCAATGTTTATTTCTTCAGTATATACAGGGTGAGTTCATGTTACATGACAATTTTAATGTGCTCTGCTCTATCCAGACAGGCAAATAGTATAAATTTTACTTAGAATGAATGACGAACTAAAGTAATTTGGCTACAGGTAGCAGTTAACAAGAGATGGTTGCCATAAAATTATTGCCAATTTACCATATTGGCTCAAATATTAATTTATTTCCCAGTTTTATAGACTTGAATACAGATAAAGAAATTTTAATCAATTGTCTGTGGTAGTGGTACAGGTACATGTTGTACAGAGCTAAACTGCCAGTAAAATTTGGTGTCAATTGTTAGCAATATTAAATACAAGCCAAGTTGTAACCAGTCATGCTGCAGCCAACAAACTATGCACTGGAATTAAATTTCCAAAATCAATATGTAAAAAGAAAAGAATTTTTTTCAGTCCAATATAAGACTTAAAAGAAATGTAAAAATTCATGTCAATTGACTGAATTTGCAAAGTATCAAAGAAAAGAAGTGTAAACATATTTGTTTATTAAACTTAGAATAAAACACCACTAAAAGAAGTTGAGAGAGAAAAAAAAACAAATCATTTAAAAGCTAAAACAAAGTCTAACTGAAATTGGAAGTTTTCTTTTTCATAAAATAAAAACAAACCACAATCAACAAATTATTAATACTTAAGAATTGAGAACAATCTATTAATGCTGTTTGTTGTTAGGATGAAGTAAATGTTTTTTCCATGATTTCCAGCCCCTCACACAATTGGCACCTGAAGGAATAGGATTTTACTGAAGGAATAGAAGAAAAAAAAAAGTTTATGATAACACTAATAATGACATTTTAATGTTATTAATTTTGGTCATTGTTATGTAATGTAAATAAATTTTTAATTTTCCTAAAACCGTCAGTACACTAGAAATCATTTGAAACTTAGAATGCTATATGATTTAGTTAGATATTAACTTATTAGGATTCAGTAAGATGTATAAAATGTTCAAAGTATTTAAAAATTGCAAGTTACGTACAGTTATCATTTTAATTATAGTTTTATGTATCTTTTGAATATTGGTCTTCAATAATCTGAAAATTATACTTGTAAGCAACACCATTGACAATCTGCAGTTTTAATAAATACTTTAAAACAGTTTAAAATAATTACTTAGTGGTGAACAAAAGTATTTTATATTTTTGCCTAAGCATTACTTTCAAAAGGATGATGATGATGAATAGTCAATTAAATTCTTGTTAAGTGGAAAATATTTTAATAATACAAATCCTCAGCTCTGAAATTCAATTATAATAAAGTAATTAGCTTCATGTCATTTACATTATTTAAAATTAAGAAAATTTCAGAAATTAATCGATTTAAATATTTTCAGCATTAATACACTTTGATTTGACCTTTAATCAACATTAACTTGTCAATAAGTATATTGACAAATTATTAAATAATGTATTAAAAAAAATAAAATTTGGTAGTGTTCAAAATTACCTGGTAAATGATAAAATAAATATTTAAATTTTTGTATAACTTGGGTTTTTAAACAAGCATCTAATTCTACTTACCAAAATTATATGCTATAAGAAACATCTGCAAAATACTAAGAACTCCTCCTGTGAAATCTAAGAGAATGTTTCCAATACTCCATCCTTCTGTAGATTTTCGTTCGTAATTAAAATATGCCTAAATAATACAATTAACAATAATTAAAATCTTAACACTGTCAAATAAAGAGGTTAATATTTATAAAGTACCTGTGGAATGTACTTGCTGACAGTAACACCAAGTTTCAGATACGAAAAGAAGAGTAAAAAGTTGAGCCAAGGAGTTTCTTTGATTACTCCTAAAGAAGTTACCAATAGAAATACACTGGCAGCTGACCATCCAGCACTAATCAAACCAATAGCCACATGAGAGAGTTTCTGATCTCCATGCTAAATATATAAACATTTTTAATAAGTTAGATTTTAACACATCTTAATGTATTGAAATAGTTATTACTTACATCATATATGAAACATTGAATGATTTGTATAAGTGTTGCCAGTAATGCATGAAGTGCAAAGCCTACATCATTTGGTTCAACTGGAATAACTCCTGTTGGATGCCAGCTATGATATTCTTTCTAAATATACATTTTAAATTATGTCAACATGTTAAATAAGAACTATTATAATTACGAATAGTTATTACTAATATAAAATTTTAAAAAAGATTTATTATTATTAATGACTACTAAATTTAATATGATAATTCATTAAGTAAGATAATGTTACTAAACAAAATAGTCACACAGAAGCAGCACAGAAAAATCAAATTCTATAGTAACAGTACTTGCATGTGAAAAATTTTCAGACTGGCAATTTTAAATAATGATATCTATATAAGTTTAAGTTTTTTACTCACTATTTTTTCCAATCATTGAAAAATTTTTTATTTCCAGAACTACAAATTATTCTGAAATCATAAAATTAAGATTGTCTAGAAGTACCTACAGAATGGAAATTGAATTCTTTTGCAGTAAATAAAAGATAACTTATGCCTATTTGTTTTATTACAGTTTCTATACCTTGCTTTCTTTCTAATAAAGTAATGTGACAATTTCAATTCACCTAATTGTCTCATTCGGAACACATATATATAGCACATCCTATTCCAATATACAGCTGTCCCTTGATAGTCCGATGTTTTGTAATCCGACATGATCAGTAGTCCGACGCACCTCCCGTCAAGGTACCTGTCCCCGTTACGTGTCTGCTTACACAGAAGCATGTCGCGATGTGAATCTCCCCACCCAATTCTTACACGATGACACACGATGACACACATTTCATGTGTTTTCCATGAGCAGTTCTGTTCAAATAGTTGGAGTAGGGAATATTGTAGGCTACTGCTAGCAAAACAATGCCAAATATGTAATCACTTTCGGTAATCCGACACCCCTTTGGTCCCATACCTGTCAGATTATCAAGGAACAACTGTACTGTACTGTACTTGTAGATTCTTATCAATTGAAATTTTCCACTTTCTCTAACAGAAACAGCAATTAAATTTTTCAACTTCATATTCTCTTTCAGATTAGAAATACACTGATAATAAATTAACTTTGACAGAAAAGTGATGCCATTTTCTAGTTTTATCAAATTTTTATATCATCTATTTCTACATATGAACACCTGGCTTAACATAACATCAATAATTTACATTACAGTTTCTTACCTGTATTTCTGGAATAAAGTATAGACCTACATTAAATATAGAATATGCCAGATATCCTGTTATGTTGAAGGCCAGAAAGTCAAAATTTAATCCAACAACACTGAAATAAAAAGTATTATTTAATAACTAAGAAATAGTATAAAAAAATTACATAATTTATGCAAAAAATTAACTTACCTTTTTCTTTTCCAATTTGTATATATCTGTGGATAAAATGAAATAGACCAAGCAACAAAATAAATCCAGCCTACCACTGCACTGATCACCTTAAGTGATGGAATTTTAAATACTTTCACTCTAATAAATGCATTATCTGTACTGGATAAAAATATTTCATGAAAGCTACATAGAATCATACCATACAAAAATTGGAAATAATAAAAGTAATTACCGAACATTGCTTGGGGTAGCATTAACGACTAAGGTAGAATGTCCAGCTTCTGTTGCTAACACAGTAAAATTTAGTCGTTCATTAGTTTCGGGGGGTATTACACTGTCATTAGACAGTACTTTCAATATATTTTCATCTTCATATATAAAACCAACGTAGATAGTCTGATTAGACATTTCACTAAATTTAAAATATATTTTTAGACAGTACATACCAAATTAAGTATTTTCATTGAATTTTAATACAGAAGAAATAATTGCTTTTCAGTTATATTTAAAGATGGACAAATACTCAAATACTGGAAAGTATGCAAGATCTCAAAAGAAATTTGTATACTACAAATGCTCCAATAGTGCATCATACATATAACAGTTCAAATGCTTATTTTTTAAAATAAAAATTGTCTTATGTGAAAATGAGAAAAATTAATTTACTGTCGTTAAGAATAAGAGAATAAAGTGCCTAAAAAGCTCAGTCTAAATAAAATGTTTGAAGTTTCATTTAGTAGACTTTATTTATTTCGATATAAAGTAAAACCAATAAATTAATAAACTATGTTAGTGAACTTAATAATTTTATTTTATTATTCAGAGTATTTTAATGTTCAAGATCTTGTTAATAATCAAATTCAAGAAAGTGTTATTCACCCATCTTTAATTATATTTATTAAATTTTCATTTATACATTTATGAATTGTTCTAAAAACTACATTGAATTTTTCTTACCTAGGGTAAACACTAAATTCACCAGATTTACTTAACTGGAATTCTAAATCATTAGTTGAGACTTCAATAGAGAGAGATTCTATTTTAAAAAATAATAATAAAATGCTTGTAATTTTATTAAATATATTCTTTTTGCAGAAAAAGAATAAATTTACCTGTAGTAATTAAACAGCTGGAGAACAAAATTATGAACTTCATTAATTTATCCATTATGTACGTCTGTTTACGCAGCATGTTGTTGCCTTTTTATAAATCTTCAAATCTACGAAATAATTATTCGAAATTAGTAAATAGAATTTTATACAAAATAAATTTTAAAACACATTTAAATGACAGAAAATTAATATAGTAATTTTTTTTTCTGCTAGCATTTAATCTGATATTTTACAAATTATCTCATAAATAAATTCTTAAACTAGGTATCTTAAATATATTTGGTTTTAATTAAATTTCTGTTTCAAGATTTATAGTGTTTTGTCACAAACTAGAAAATCATAAATGGAAAAACATTAAAATTTTTCTATTTCAATTTTAACGTATTTTAACTCATTTTGAAAATAGTAATAATAAGATTTAATGGGTGTGAATACGTCATAAAAGTTACAACAGCAATAAAATATAAACTGTTCATGAATATACAAAAAAATTTACAACTTCTTGGAATTCAAAAATTCTTACTACATTATTACACAATAATGACAGTGTATTAAAAAGTACTTTTTCTAGAATATCATTTATATAATTCTAAGAAATGAATTTAAATTTTACATTAGAGAGAAATAAAATATTCTTTTACAGTAAATCTTAATTACAGAACATAAAAAGTTTTAAGTTTAGAATATAAAATAATGTACACAAATCAAACTTTTATTAGAAGTTACATATTTTTCTTTGTGAAAGTTTTCAGGAATAATTTCCACTTTCCATCATTTTAATGTTTCATTTCTCAATCCTTGTTATCTGTTTATTCACAGCATTAACCTATTCATGTTTGATATTTGCATATAACTTGTTTTTTTTCATCATTCTAATTTTTATTACAGTATTTAAAATGTAAGAAAAGACATTACAGGTATACCTTGCCTTACGTCGGTAATTGGTTCCAGGAAAACGACGTAAGTCGAATTTACTTGTCTCCAAATCTACTTGTCACTAGGCTAAACCGTAAATTACCATTCCCTGTTCTGTATTTTATTTATTAATGCATTTTTAATAATATATGGTTAATAAAAATCTATTTTAAGCTTACAAACAAATTTTAGTTTTTAATATAGTACAAAAAAAAGTAATCTAAATTTACGAATGCATGTACTGTAAATACAGTACATACTTGTAAATGTATATATTTTAATATGATTTTATGTGCTTTAAACGTTTATCTAGTGATATTACGACTTCAATATTTGTGGCGGACAGACGTAAAGTCGAATAAAATGACTTAAACTTGATTTTTATTTTTCCATATACTTTTTTAACAAGCGACGTATAATCGGGAACGACGTAACTCGAAACGACGTAAGTCGAGGTATGCCTGTACATTCTTCCATTGCTAGGATTTGTTTAGAATGTGTGCTTACATTTCATTAATTCTTTGAGATGAAAATGAAAAGCCCATAGTTTTTAATATCATGGAATAAAAAATAGAATACAGTTATGTCTATTGGTTGTGCAAGTGAATAAAACAACCATTGAAAACTGAATTTGATTTTTCTATCTTCTAATTTCTTTTCCTTAACTCATATATCACAAATAATAGTGATCATCATCTGCCTCAAGTTATGACTATTTCTAGAATTATTAAAATGATCATTAATATATATATAACTACCCATAACTTTAATATTTCATAGTATATTTTTAAAAATATATTGTAATCTAGAAATGGCAACAAAGCACTTAACTATTGTATTTAAATTATAACATTCCATTATTATTGTTGTTTTCAGGAACATAAGTTTAACATGATGAATACCTACATATTAATTATTAATTAGTGTTTATTACTACACTTAGAAATTTCTTCCAAAGGTAAGTTCACACTGAGAAAAGTGAAAACAAAGTTTTATTCGCTTGGTGAAATTGATCCATACAACCAAAAGTGAAAACCAATTGTTAATTTTAAGCAGCCAATCATTAGCAAAACAAGAGAAAAACATCATCTCAAAAAGCAAAATGGCTGCTTCCAATATTCTGTTGTTAACTTTTTTCTCAATAAATAAACAAATATGGTTATGTCAAAAAGAAAACAATGCTGATTGAGATGAATATTAAAAAACCACAAATTACATTTACTCTATTGCATTGAGAAAGCTCCTATAGTCATCTTGAAAACAAGAACCAAGAACCATGTGAACCAGTGGGAATATAATTGGTGGCAAAATTTTTTTCATTATCAAAAATCTTGACAGTTCTGAACTTCAAAGTGATTTGCAAAATCGTAAAATTTGCTTGGAAATGATGCCATGCTTGACATGTTATTTGCTCTGTTTGTTTTTTGCTTTTGCCAGTGAATTGTGCTCAGTTTGAACCAAGCTAAATGCTTCAACAAGAAAAGTTTTTATATTTAGAAAAAGAGAGAGAGAGACTGACTTAAAATGTATTAGGCCTATTATAGGAGAATATAGCTAAATAATTATACATTAGAAAGCATAAGAAGCATAAAAAGTATAAACAACACCAAAAAGAATGGTTCTAAATCCAAACAATCATTCCCCTTAAGAAATATTTATCCACTTGGAAAATTTTATCAATACAATTATGAATTTCAAAAGTTGATTTTAAATTAAGTAAATAATTTTTAATATTTATTATGAAAAAATATGACATGTAATATTTTTAAACCATAAAATCAATTTAAAAAATTAATTGAATTAAACTAAAACAATTAATTCTTTAAAAATTTTCAAAGGAAATCGGAAGTTTTAGTAAAAAAATATATACTGTATGTAGTACCATATTCCATCAATATTAAAAATGCAAGCAAATTAAGTTATATTCATTATTTACATTGTGCTGATAAGCATTTTTATAAATAAACATTTTCTGAAAAAGATCAAAATATTCTTATTCTTATTCTAGAATATAAATATAAGAACAAAATTAAAATAAATCCATAAAAATGTTTAATGTCATTAAAATTAATATTTATTTTACAGTATTAAGTTAAAATTTCAACAAGATATTCATTTTTTTAGATACACTATTCCATCAAAATTTATAAACTTTCTATCACTGATTTACTTTTCTACAACATATTAATCATTAAGGCTAAAGATATATTAATGAAATTTTCTGATTTTTACTACATTTATCATTACATTACTAAAGTGAATCTGGCCCTAACTAAACTTAAAAATATTTGATTGGATTAAAAGCAATGCAATGTTTTATGATTCAAAGAATAAAATTTTGTTTGTGTTACATTTATAAATATGCACTGTATTTTCAAATTAAGAATGTAAGAACCAATTTCATTAAACAATCACTACATGCAGTAGATTCACTAATCTGGCCTCAATTATCCAACACACTCCGGTGTAATCATCTATGAAAATGTTCTATTTCTAGGAAAATCTTAGTCATGTCACACATTGTTTTCCTGTTTACTCTGTTTTATTTCTTTGAACAGTCTTTCATGTCAGCATTCTATATTATTTGCCAGTCTATATCAAAAATAAAATCAGTACCGCAGGGTAATGGGTCATGCCATTCATTGCCTTTAGGCCTATACACTCAGTAATCTACTCTAATACATAATTGAAAACAGTATGAATGCAGTATGCATTCATTACTTAATGCAAATGAAGATCTTTTCTTACAAGAAGCATGATTACCTTTAATTAAGACTGAAAAAAATAAATAATGCAATTTGTCATATCTTATAATCAATTCTATTAATCTACAATCAGGATTTGATGTTATTTATGCTATTTATCACTTAACTAGCAGACCCCGCCACACGTTGTTGTGGCTCAAAATGTATCTATTATAAATGTATAACACTTCCCCCGTGGGGGAAAATTTTTCGAAAAATCTTCTTAGTGTACATTCTCTTGACGTACCCTATTAAAACGCAATCAAAAATGCAAAAACCCGCATCTAAAATATTATAAATAGAAGCAGAGTTCTTTACCATAAGCCTTAATCCTAACCATCGCCCTTCAGTAGGAGGAATTACGACACGTATATTATATAAAAACACGTGCGTATTCGAATGCAGTGTTGTGTCAAAATTTCAAAGGAATCGGTAGGAACAAACGAACATTACATTTTTATTTATATAGATAGATAGAAGATAATCTGCTTTAGTTCATTTTCACAGAAAAGCAAACTTAGGGCGTCATACTCGTAGCGCCATCTATTGGACATAAAAGCCTTAACCTACATTATATCTTTTAATTTATATGAATGTTTAACGGAGTAATATACAGCCTATGTCCACCCTGAGGTTCCATTCTAAATATTGGTGAAAGAATTTTTGAAATCGGATGAGTAGTTTCGGAGATTACCTGCTGCAAACAAACTTATATACATACTTACAAACATTACCTCTTTATAATATTAGTATAGATAATTTTGACTTTTTTTATCTTTAGTTAGTTGGTGTAGTAAGGGTTTGTTCAATAAGTATTGGGACTGAAGCCATAAAAAAAATTTATTGAAGACATACGTACAGTGAGCTAATAATCTTCAAAATAGGACCCTCCTGCATCAATATGCTGCTGCCAATGCTTCTTCCAGTCTTCATAAGCCTCCTAGAAGGCAGCAACTGCAAGGCTGTTCAGGAACCCTGTTGAGGCCACTTGGACCACCTCAATCATCCTGAAATGATGCCCTTTCAGGCTCCTTTGATATGAGGGAACAAAAAGAAGTCAGGGGAAACCACATCTGTACTGTAGGGTGGTTGGAGCAGTGTTGACATGTGTTTGGCCAATGCCGCCCTCTCAATTAGCGATGTGTGACTGGTGCATTGTTGTGATGGAGCATCCAGGTATCGGCGATCTCCTTTTGGATGTGGTGGACCCTAATCCTCAAAAGTTCTCACACTTTGGCTACATTGTCATCAGTTCGGGTCACTGTCGGGACGTCCAGTGCATTGTTTGTCTTCGACATCTGCCAACCATCTTTGAATTTTTTATGCCACTCAAAAACACATGTTCTGGACATGGCTTTCTCCTTTATATGATCCATGGCTAAGCCTCATGGATCATATCCAAAGTCTCAGTATCGGATTTGTTCAATTTAACACAAAAAATCTGATTGGCAAAACACTGCTCAATGGTTTGCTGCATCTTGACTCTCAACACAGGCACTAAATACACTTTCACTTCATGCACTACCTACACACTCCAAAGGCTTGGAGACAATTGAGCCGGGTCTCGTAGCTTATATGACATCTCCCACCACCGATCCCACTCATAGAAATCGCCCTCCCCCTTCCTATTGGCAGGAAAAAATCAGTTCCGATACTTATTGGACAAACCTTGTATTTCTATAAAAATTTTTGGTAAGCAACTTTCAGTTTACTTCAATTTATTTATATTTCTAAACTTAGACAAGTAGTTAAAGGGGCAAGTCTATTTAATCATTTTATAGATTTTGTATTACCTATGAACTTCTACACACAATTTTTGCTAATTACACTTAAATATTAACTAATTTCCAAGTAACTTTATTACATAGCATCTGAATATCTTTCCCCCTCTCAAACCTTTTCTATGCAATTTACTTACTGTTTAATACAGGCATTCCTTGCTTTAAGATACTCTTTAAGAGATTTTCTAGATTATTTTTAGTTATTTTTACTTCTGCATCTTTTTTTGGCTTGGCAGCATTGCACACTTAACAAATGAGTGTAAATATGTTTTTAGACTATTATATACATTAGGTTAAAAGATCAAAAAATGCTCATTGAGTGAAAAAAATTGATCACAATGCATTATGACTTCCCAGATCTAGCCACTATATGAATTTTGTGTCATGGCACGTTCAACACATTTTAGAAGATTCAATAAGACCACAAAACAAAATTTGTGTTGACATAATTTGTTGTGTTGTTTAATAACCAACCAAAATGCAATCTAGCAATGTGAAAATGTCATAATGCATTGTGGACCAGATTAATGCAGCCATGATACAATTTGATAAAAATATCTGTGCAAAAATAAATAAATTTCTTTAAAATTTGATTTTATTCTAAGTAATAATCTGCATTGAGAATTATAGGGAAAATAAACAGTTAACCTCAGAGGTGCCTGTACATTGGGGCACTTTAGGCACATGCCTCCCCTTTGTTGTTGAGGATTAAGAAAAGGGCAACCCAAGAGTTTGTTAAGTTATGGCAATGCAACACTTGGACAATCTGCCTAGAGGGATGCCTTCCGGGAGGTCTTTTTAAGGGAAACTGGCCCCTATGTAGGCATTACAGATTTGGAGAAAACCCAGAAAACTCCGTATGGCCAGCCCGTCCAAGCAAGGTGCGAACCCACGACCAAACTCCTGGTGTTCAGGGTACAAAGACTGCTCAGCCACTGGTGGGCACTAATCCTCAAGAGGTTTCATTTTATTTTTATCACAGAAAACATTTTTACTGATGGCAAAATAAAAATAAAAATATTTGTTATTTACCAAAAATTTGTTCTAGCNGTTGTGATGTTCTTAAAATCATTATTTCAAAATTACTGATGTGCAGTCCTTTCGAATTTTTTTTCTTTCTTTTCGCCCTGTGGGCACTAAGTGGACCTCTTTTTTTAGCAAGTCCATTATGGACGGGTTTGCTAAAAACAAACATTCCGGATATATGGACGGGGTCCAATAGATCCGGATAGAAGAATTCCTGGGGATTTATCGACCCGTCCGGATTCGAACCCGGGTCCCCAGAGCGGTAGACTGCCATTTTTGACCGCTCGGCCTTCCGTTCGTTCGATTTTTGGACGAACTATACAACTATAGAATTAATAAATACGTTTTTTAACCAAATTTACTAAATACTATGTGATTTATTACTATGGAGATACGATAAATGAAAATCGCTACGTTACAGTAGCGTGCCGTCATTGGAAGCGGTGGATGCGCCGCTTCCCTTGTATTTTCTAAAAAATAAATACATATTCATTTTAATTATATGAAAATTATCGCACAATATTTTATTATAATTATGTATCTTATTACAAATTTCTATACTACACGTGAAAAAAAAAAAATAAGATTACTATTGTATATTCGAATATTAGTGGCGGAGTAGCGGAGTGGAAACGCTATATCGTCAGCATCCAAAAAGCCAGATGCTCTGTCAGCATGCGCTTTACAGAGCACCAACCTCACCCGGTTTAGCCGGTGGAAGCCTAGGACCTTGAGTGGCTAGGATTCATACATAAAACAATTAACAACAAATTGTCTTCTTGACTGTGAATTATGAAAGAAAATGAAAAGTTGCATTTATTATACTATGGTTCATTTAATCATATAACATTTTGTGACAGGAATTTTCAGTGATGAATATTTTCCCAATATACATCTTTCTACTGAGTCCTGACTGTGAGTGCTTGGGCTTTCCATGCACCAGTTTTAATTCAGACCACATAACTACACATTCTTTGATGATGTTCTTGGCAAATTCTATTCCGTTATCACTTTGTAGAATACTCATGGCACCAAAAATTGTAATATGTCTGAAAGGAACATAGGCCCTTTTGGTTTTTAATGGTCATAGTTGAACGAATTTAGTCAGGTGGTCTTGGTACACGAGTATGAATTTATATTGCTCGTGCGACTGCATATCTATAAGGTCAACCTGATGTTTTGAGTTCATGTCATCACTTAAAATTGGTTTGATTACAAAGTGTTTCTTAGGAACGACTTTGTAATCAAAAAGAATAAAGTATGAAATATAAAAATATTACAAGGATATGAGATATGATTGTAATTTATCAGAAAAAACAGAAGTTCAAGTAAATTACAATCATATCTCATATCCTTGTAATATTTTTATATTTCATACTTTATTCGTTTTCCATACGGTTTCTGCCACCACGGTCAATAGCAATATGGTCGTCACGCAACATCCGAAATATTTCTTCAGTGCGAACATAATATTTAATCAAATCACCTTCTTTTACAGGCACAATTAATTTTTCTATTTCTCCAATAGATACATCATCATATCTACATAAATGCCGATATTCTTCCAATAACTTCAAAGTCACTTTAATTTTTTTAACACACTCACTTTTTGTATTATTGTCGAATACACCAATTTTGTAAAAATTTGACCGTTTTGAGCTATTACTTCTATTAACTCATTTAATCAGTCGTCGAAGCAGTTATTCACATCACTTAACGTTTGCTCCACAATTGTTACTTTTTAAAAAAGAAAACATTATTTTAAAAGGCAAAAGTAAAATTAAAATGTCACACCAGTTTAACTACCGGTTGCACAAATTTAAAATTTGACACTAAATGCAATATGCAGGCGCAACTCAGACAAGAGTACCGAGCGGCTAGCGTACGTCAGACGATCACTCCTCAAGGTATCGTCGTCGCTTTACCCGACCAGTCAATAGCAGTATTCGCAACGACCGGTCAATCCGATCAGTTACGATAAAAAAAAAAAAAATTGAAATTTATTAGTGTCCAATTTTGTTCGTCATTATTATTCGTAACGACCGGACGTTACAGATTAATCGCTCAGTCCATACACCGACGAGCAAAAAAAGGTTGCAGTTTACTTTAGGGCAATATTTACTTTATAACGACGTTCTGGAACTAACTCAGTATATTAGCAAGGAATATGTACACAATAAGAAATGAATGTATTTAGAATATTTATAAAAAAAATATTTTCTATTAACATCATCTTAAATAATTAGAAAATTCCTTTGAAATATATATATATATATATAATGCAGAGACTCAATAATTCAATCAATTCTTAATACGAACAGCTACTAATTTTGCTATAGCAACTACTGAAATTCAAAACATACATACAGCTACGTTATTGTATCATATCTTTTTTTTTTAAACATGGCATTACGAATATAAAATCTTGATATTTACCAATTCAGTTAAGTTTTCTTTGTTCAAACGAAGGTTACTTAATCAAAGGAACTTGTCCAATTTTTTTTCTCAGCTGACATTAGTGCGTATATAACATTTCTGCTTCCTTAATTCGTCGAATTGACGTCGAGCGGCGCCTTTCGGTGCGAAAACGCTAACCGATAAATATTATTATTATTATTAAACTTAATTTTAAATGATGCATTAATAATCATCGATTACTTTGTTAGTAATTAAAATTTTAAATATTACATATTATTTTTCGTTGTGATGTTCTTAAAATCATTATTTCAAAATTACTGATGTGCAGTCCTTTCGAATTTTTTTTCTTTCTTTTTTTTTCTTTTCGCCCTGTGGGCACTAAGTGGACCTCTTTTTTTAGCAAGTCCATTATGGACGGGTTTGCTAAAAACAAACATTCCGGATATATGGACGGGGTCCGATAGATCCGGATAGACCCGCCCCTCGAAGAATTCCTGGGGATTTATCGACCCGTCCGGATTCGAACCCGGGTCCCCAGAGCGGTAGACTGCCATTTTTGACCGCTCGGCCTTCCGTTCGTTCGATTTTTGGACGAACTATACAACTATAGAATTAATAAATACGTTTTTTAACCAAATTTACTAAATACTATGTGATTTATTACTATGGAGATACGATAAATGAAAATCGCTACGTTACAGTAGCGTGCCGTCATTGGAAGCGGTGGATGCGCCGCTTCCCTTGTATTTTCTAAAAAATAAATACATATTCATTTTAATTATATGAAAATTATCGCACAATATTTTATTATAATTATGTATCTTATTACAAATTTCTATACTACACGTGAAAAAAAAAAAATTATTACTATTGTATATTCGAATATTAGTGGCGGAGTAGCGGAGTGGAAACGCTATATCGTCAGCATCCAAAAAGCCAGATGCTCTGTCAGCATGCGCTTTACAGAGCACCAACCTCACCCGGTTTAGCCGGTGGAAGCCTAGGACCTTGGGTGGCTGCTACACATATAACGCATCCAATTCTATCCAGGACCGGTACCGGGCTGTTAGCCGCCCGCCTGCTAGATATTTGGCCGCCCTCGCCCGATTACGCGAATCACGAGTAGATTTATAACTTAACCCAACAGATAAGAATTTACCTGTATGTTTTNATAAAATGGCTTTGTGGATGCATAAAAATGCAAAAATTGTTTTGTTGGCCTTGCCTATTATTTTCAAATGAAATTAGTGTGTGGAATAAGAGTAGCTTTGACGATTTAAATAATTTGAGTAAAGCTCGCAAAAGACACGAAAATAGTAAATCTCACATAAATTCTTTCGTAAAATTGTAGCAATTTGGAAATCAAAACAGAATAGAATTTAACATTAGTAAACAATATAAAATAAATATTGAAAATTATAACAAAGTTACGGCTAATAGATATATTATATCTAAATTAGTAAATGTTATCGAAGCAAGAATTGGCATTTAGAGGGCATAGGGAATCTATTGAATCTAATATAACAGAGGTAATTATATTGAACTTGCTAATTTATTAATTAAGTGCGTTAGATAATCTATTAATTAAAATTACATTTAGAGAAGTCTACGGTTTTTACTGGCTTATCGAACAAACGAATACGAATGGACCCTAGACCAGCGATTCCCAACCTGTGGTACGCGTACCCCTAGGGGTACGCGATAGGTTGTTTAGGGGTACAGAAAAAAGTTAGTTATTATGGCAGAAAAATAATATATTATGTATCACAAACTAATGGTATTAAAAAATTATTAGATAAAAAATGTTCCTAGCAACAATCACAACTTTATTATACATTTTTTCTTTTAGTTTTTTTTTTCTTTAATTTAAAGTTACAATATGTAAAATTAACAATACGATTACTCACTAAATTTCTTAAATGAGGGGTACATTCTAGAGATATGACATGTCACGGGATACGCTAATGAAAAAAGGTTGGGAACCACTGCCCTAGACCAACGCTGGCTGATTGCCCCTGGAAGTCGGCTTCTTACAGAAACGCAGCTTCCCTATCATCAATTGTCACGGCACGCCACTGCTACGTTATGGTTGTTTATAGTGTAGAAATTCAATAATCGTAACACTAATACATATTTTGCCACCTTAAAACTGACATCTATTCTTGGGTATAATTCAGGCGCTGATTGCAAATATAACACCAGTTTTACACTATCACAGAGCTGTAGTTCTGGAGATACAGCATGACCGACCACCTTATAGGCTATGCTGCTCGAACCGGTCGTCCGTCAAAATTGGGGACATTTATATTTACTTAATTGCTCATATTGCAGCCAAGCTTATTAAAATTGGAGAGTGTATCCTCTAGTAATTCGGCGTAGTTGTCAAAACTTTCTTGGATACGAGACGGCAGGATACTAGAGTCAATCTTTTTCATCCAGGCTCACCAGTGCCCGAGTGGATAAAATCACTAAACACTAGTCGTGGGTTTGCATCTTGCCGACGGACTAGCCACGTGGAGTTTTCCCGGTTTTCTTCACGTGTGTAACACCTAAATAGGGCCAGTTTCCCATAGAAAGTCCTCCCGGGAGGCATCCCCTCGACACATCGCACACGTTTCGCGTTGTGATATACAAATAAACCAAAGCTAAATGTTTTCCACCGGAATATGAATTATTTAAGAGCTGTTTTATCTGATCTTCACAAACGACTGCTTTCGGTTTTTCAGTGCTAAAAGTCTCGAGGAATTTACGTAATGTATAGTCGAAGCACAAACTGTCTTTGCTCAAAGTTTTTACGTATTGTTCCATCAGGCCTAGTTTAATATGGAATGGTGACAGTATGATTTTGTTATGGGCAAATAAAAAGACATTGATTACTTTCCGTTTTCCAATTACCATATTTTTTCAAAACCAATCTTTTCTTAACCAGTGGTCATATGCAACTCTGCTGTTCCAAAGGCATAAAAAGAAAGGAAATTTCGTTAGGCACTTTGCTAACCAAAGAGAATTTATTATTTTTAGGTCTAGACAAATGTTAAACGCTGGAGAAGCAGTCTGCTTGTCTTCATGCACTAGGAGTGGTGAGATATGGCTCACTCTGCCACCATATTATAGGCTTGGTTAAATTCACAATTTATTAAATACTACATACGAATCGTGTATAAAAAATACCTTACTGTAATCTGCTTATAATAAAGAACACGGCCAGTAGACGTTTTCGAAAACGGCCAGTAGACGTTTTCGAAGCAAATGACCTTGTTTTGCCTTAACCTATTAAGTAGGGGAAAAGCTTGCTACCAACCGTAATAAAATACAAATTTTGGTTGAAAATAATTAACATCCCGCCCTACGTATCGCAAAAAGAACAGTTTTTTTTAAATATTGATTTTCCCAATATCAATGCATATTGTTCTATCACCGACAGTATATGCAGCATATATAATTAAAATGAGCAGTAGCATTTTTCGAACATTATTTTCATTTTTTCAACAAATGATTTATTTAAAAAATTACACCTAAGCCACCACAAAGCAGTTACGATCATAAATACCAGAATACCGAATATCTTCTCACACTTTAAAGTTGCCGGCAAATCTCCTTCGTAACACGACCTTTGAACTTTCACCACAATACACGCCGTTGCGGCAACCGTTTTAAGTTTCCTTCCTTTTCGTTACTACTGTATTAGGTTCTTGTCGAATGAATGAATAACTTGGGAAAAGTTTATAACGTAGGCTTAATTCCAATAAGACAGAAGTTTAATAACATTAATATGTATGACGATAAGTGACGATGACAACAACCTGATTAGTGTTTTCTAACAGAGTTTTGTTCGGGTTTTTATAATCTCCCCTCCTCCCCATTCGACGCCTACGGTCAAAATTCGTCCTCTGAAATAGTATTTTAACAGATTTATAAAGATGAGCAGAAAATACCATTGACGCTGTTTGCGGCAGCGGCATAATTTAGAACTAATGCTAGCTCAGGATTTAGACACTTGTTAGATGTTCTCAACTGATCCAGAGCCGAATACTTCTGTCATTTTTTAAATTATAATAAAAACATTCTAAGGAAAATAAAAATTATCTTTATAAACTATAATAATTATTTAAAATTNATTAATATATATAAAAAAATTAACACATTAAACAGCAAAAAATTAATCAAATTTTAGTGTATTTTCATAACTTAAAATTTTAAAAATAGTTTCATTTTATACATACATAAATTCTTTTATTGAAAACAACATACAGTAATACATATTTATAATAAGAGTACATAGGTTGTGTGATATAATTTAGCATGACAGAGGAGGAATGGTAATTGTAGTGACAGACAGTGGCAATTTTCATTTTACTGCTTGACCTCAATGGTCAAAGATAAGAAAAGTAAAAGTGAATCAAATGACTGACTGATTTTATTTTATTTTGTCTGACCCAAGTCCACTTATTGTCTGAATATTTTATTTATTGATAATTCTTTACATTTTGTAGTATCAGTCTGAGTTTAGAGTTAATAAATTAAAATGTATTCTATTTAAATAATATTTTACTACTGTTTTTTTTTTTTTTTACAAAAAATTTACACATTCTTACAACATCAAAATGACCAAAAATATTTAATTTAAAATATCTCTCTCTTAGTTTACAAATAACAATTTTAAGAATTTATATAATTATCACTTGTTTTTCACATCTTATCTTAAAATATTATCATCATAAACTTGAAATTATGATTGAATTCTAGATAAACATTATATTCTAAATAATAGCAAGTTTTAAACTTTATTAAAGTTTTGTTTTATTGAATAAAATGAAGTTTAAATTACTAATATGATTCCATTATATACAAAGTATATTGGAGACTGTGTTGTTATGAATTACAACAGTTCATGATGCAAATAAAGAATAATATACAGAATTTTTTATTTCATTGAATATATGACTTCTTGAATATAAAAATAACTTAAACATTTACAGTATATATAAAATTAAGTAAATAATTGTAACCATTATTTAAGAGCTGTTTTATCTGATCTTCACAAACGACTGCTTTCGGTTTTTCAGTGCTAAAAGTCTCGAGNAATAAAACAGACTAGACGCATTCTGACGTATCTATTTACAGGTATTAAAAACCATCTCTATAAAAGAATAAGGTCACGTAGACACTTAT